GGCAGTGTATTACCTATAACCTTCCTTTTTTACCAAAAATCGACTGCACCAAAATTTCTTGGGAAAAAAACTTTTTCTTATTAATTTTGGTGCGTAGAATCCAAAACGATTCGTACTTTTTCGATTAGACGACTCAATCAAAAGTTATGGGCAAAAAACCAATTTCGACAAAAAATTCAAAGAGCTGTAACTTTTGATCTAGTTGCTCGATCTTGGAACTGTTTGAAATTATGGATTCTACAGGCCACGTTCTATAAGAAAATATTTTTGTCCGGTCGATCTGAGACAATTTTTTTTTCGGACCAAAAAAAAGGCAGTGATTATTAACCTTCCTATTTTACAAAAAATCGACTGCACCCAAATTTCTCGGGGAAAAACTTTTTCTTATTAATTTTGGTGTGTAGAATCCAAAACGATTCGTACTTTTTCGATTAGACGTCTCAATCAAAAGTTATGGGCAAAAAACCAATTTCGACAAAAAATCTAGTCGCCCGATCTTCGGACTGTTTGAAATTATGGATTCTACAGGCCACATTCTATAAGAAAATATTTTTTTCCGGTCGATCTGACAGTTTTTTTTTGGGCCAAAAAAAAGGCAGTGTATAACCTTCCTTTTTTACCAAAAATTCTGACAGCGCCAATCGATAGCCCTGGTCGAGACCTTTCCAACGAGGGGTTGGAAGGCATATCTACGACGCGCCGTTCTCGAGATATTATGGTTTGTCAGAATTTTTGGTCGAAACTTCAAACCGGAATATGTTGGAAAGGTCTCGGCCAGCGCTATCGATTGGCGCTGTCAGAATTTTTGGTCGAATATCCTTATCATGGACACAGTGTATAGTAGAGTACCTATATCTACTGGTTTGTTTATTTTGTTGTTGTTATTAGTTTACATCTTTTTAAAATTGTATTTCATTTATTAACGAGCTCCAAAGCGAGTTCATGATTTTGGACTCTCTGTCCGTCCGTCCGTCTGTGTACATGATCTCTTGCGAACGGCTTCGAATTTTCCAATTCGGTTTTCAGTATTATGCATCACAGAATGAAGGACTGAAATTTATGTGACTGTGCCTCAGGAGCTCGTTCGCTATATTTGTTACAAGTTTATTTAGGTAAGTACCTACACCATAATTGTAACCATGGCCTATACTCTTATTAGGCCATGATTGTAACTGTCTTCTACTAATGTGTCCGATAATCTGAGAATGTCTGTTGGACAAATACTATTAAAATTCTAGAATTTTTCTTTCAAAATATGTACCTACATATGTAAAATTATACAGGGTATTTCATTTAAAAAACTTAACATATGGTATGGTCCCAGTGCTTTCATTCAAAGGCTGCAGTATACCTACCTATATTTAAATCCTAAGTGAGCTTTTACGAGATATCTTTTTATTACATTGCTTAAATGAAATTTAAGTGTGGCATCCTCTAAAGATGGCTCTCCCCATGCGCTATCGATACTATATCCTCTTATTTAGTTCCTATTGTATTATTAACGATTACATATTTAATATGTCTACATTTGTGGTGTAATGGACAAAGTGATATATCAAATTTTTTGAGATACCTACAAATCCATTATTTTCTTAGCGCGCAAATTTAACCGATAGGAGATTTTTAATGCACTTGAAAAAAAGTCCACTACCTTAAGCAATTAAAGGGATGTTTATTGTTTGCAGTGTGAGGTAAGATTAACTTAATCGATCAGTAGACATCCATAGATAAGATACTTATTTTCAAAATATAGATACAATGGCTTCATTTAATCAATATATATGACACATGAGATTATTCACGATTAATATTAGTCCTTGGCGGTCGTCTGGCATGCATTCAAGGTAACGCTTTATGTCAGATCAGAACTTGCACCCAACAGTAAAAGAATTAAACAAAGTAGTACCTATCTGTAATCAAAAGGATTGAATAACATTAATTTCTTTTATTGACTAATCCTAGATATGATTATTACCAAGATTTCATTTCAATAGCGCTTTCTAGTCAAAATCGGCTGAAGATGTGCTTGCCAGTAAAAATCAACCGAAGTTAGAAGGAGATACGAACGAGTAGAAATATTTTGGCGTGCAGGAGCTATCTACTAAAACACTATAAAAGTCTCAGATCAATTTCTTCAGTAATAGGTAGTTTGAAGAACGGATAGACGGACAAATTTGCAGCTCCTAGTAAAACTATATAGTTCCTAATGAATCTGACTGACCGCATTTGTTTTATCAATCGTCACCATTACCAAAGACACAATTTTATTTTTTACTCATTAGATGTGCCACTATTCACCAGCCACCGCATATAAATTTGACGCTAATCCCGTCAACCAACTATATAGTTGGGTGGCCATAGTTAATAAATCGCAAGTCTAACGGCATTTAATGAGCCATTTTGGAAACGTGCGTTTATAAGGGTAAAAATGTCTGCTGAACCCGAATTCGGATGTTGCCAAGCTGATTTTTGGCTAATTTCAAAATGGCGGCCAAATATATAAATTTTTATGCCAGACACATTTTACATAGTTTTTCGGATTGAGGTGTTAAAAACATACAGGAGGCACAGAAAATTGCGAATCTTATATATTGGGTACATTATACAGCCACACGGTAACAATATAGAGATCATTCTGACGGCAAATGTATTACCTATATTTCGTTCAAAAATTTTAACGGAACTTAAATTTCTTTATCATTCTGCTCATTTTTTGTACGATTGAAGCAGTCGCCAAGACACTAGATATTTGTGCACTTTTAGTTCATAGCATAATTTATTGAAAGCCAAGTTTTTGGGAGGACTAGTCTGACTATTCGATTTTTCAGTGTCCCTTATCGCATTTGCGAGACAATATGTATGGTACAAAATGTCCCCGGCAACAGCATCATGAGAAGATGCAACTAACTCTACGCCCTTCTGTACCCACTGCACCCAATGTAAATTTCCATAAGAGCGTCCGCCTAAAAAACTCAAGTTGTTTTTGAAAAATAAAATTTTATATTAATAATAAATTTAGACTTTTATCTACAAAATGTTCGGACTATTTTTTTAAAAAAAGTTTATAGCAACTCAATACCGGCTGTTTAAAGATTAGATATTTTTCACCGATTATTGCTCTAACCTGTTTTTTTGCTTTACTCTTGATCAAGACGATTTATGGAAAAAGTAAACCGACAGTTTTCTAAATAAGTTACTTTGAACATTACCCCAAAAAATGAAATCATATTTTTTGTAAATAAGGTCTGTATCTTGGCGGGCGGTAAATAAACAATTTGAGTGTAGCAAGTGGCGCCGCTGCACTGTGTCGGCGGGAACCGAGCGGTAAACCACCTAGTTAATTCGGTGTACAAATAGTAGTTAATAATCAAATTAACTTTTAATGTAGTTAATATGTTCTGTAAATGCAGTTAATTTCAAGTTAATTCAGTTAATGCTAAGTTAATGTAATTAATTTACATTTAATGACATTTAATACTACTCGAGATATACTATAGGTAGTGGCTATAGCATGCGAAAAACCAAATTTTGAACCTGGTGTTAGATTTGCTTTTATTCCAAGTGCCTATGTATCAAATTTTATTCAAATACTTTCGTATATAAAAAAGTTTGCAATTCAAAAAGGGCAGTGTGAATGTGGAATTGATTAGGCTCAACTTTTGCCATTGCATATTATATGGCTAAAACTATGCCCTCGACTATGCCCATATTGAGTTTCATGCAATTTGGTTTATAAATAACGGAGATGTCAAAAGGGCCCTCTTTATTTTTTTACGTAGGTACATTGCCAATTCACGAACTCCAATCTATAACTCTGATAAAGAATTCAAATGCAAAATTTCATCATAATCGGCGGTCCATTCGTTTTCGAGGTATCGTGCTAATGAACAGATCTCGGAACAGATGGACAGGCACCGCAAAATTATAAACTCTCTACGTCCTAGGAGATCGTCAATAATTTGAAAATGTTGGTTATTTAAAATATTTTTGCTATAGTGTTTTATAAAGAATTTATTATGTAATAATACACAGGGTGTTCCATATCAAAGTCACATTTTTGTTATCATCTGAAAAATGCGATGTGGTTTTGTTTTTTTAATTGCAGATTTGAATTCATTGGAAAAAATACGCAATTTTTATTTATATGTAGTTGGAAAAAACCTAAATACTTACTAACGGTTATTAAAAAGCACAAAATTTAATAACAAACAAAATTTGTCGAGGAAAATGTAAAACACTAATTTAATTAATTCACAGCTTTTTTGGGACACCCTATACCTATATTACCACATGATATTTTCCTACATTTTCCGAACTAGCTATGAAGTTAATTAACCAACTCTTACGTATATGTAAGTAATAAATTATGGAAAACAATTTAATACTAAATAGTACACAATACAGTAGATAGTGGCGCCATCGTGCTGTATTTGTGAACTAGTGCAAAATTCGGCCTGGCAACATCCAGAATCGGATTCAGCATATTTTTTTACATCTAAAATACCATGTGGCCAAAATGGCTCATAAAATGCCGTTAGAACTAAGAAACAGAGTCGTTTTTCGATTTGGCCACTTAACTAATACCATCCCATCAAAAGAGGCGCTGTCAAATCACGTTTCGAATTTTTGTTTATATGGGGAATCATATTTAGCTTGAACTTCCAAAGGTGACTTGACGTCAATCCTTTTTTGATTACCCATTATTAAAGCATCACTACAACGCATTCGCACCTCCACATGCGGTATGGTCACAAGATCCCAATGGTATGTAGGGTGACCTAAAGCAGCGATCTAAAAATAAACGTGCAACCGCAACCGATTCGATTAATACTGAGACTCGACAGCAACTCCGTACCCGGGTGAGCAGAAAGATGCGATAGATGACGGATAGGGTGAGATACATGGAAACTTGTTCAATAGTTAACCTTTATTGAATATGTACCTATGTACATAATAAATAAAAAAATACTTAGATATTTCATGTTAATACTGTATAAAGTGAAATGCGAAAGTGCAACAATAAATAATTAACAATATTTGCATTCACTAGTAACAATATACAAATGGAAAGTAAAACTAGAATATCACACATGATCCTGATAAACTATACGTCTTATAGATAGTCTATTTAAGAAACTAACATTATTTAACAGCTTAAAGGAACGTTTACAATTGTTCATTTGACACGCACAAATAATTGACTGCTCTCTGAAGCAAAATAGAAAAATTGTAAAGCATTATTAAGTTTTTCTTGGAACACGCTTATTTTTTGTCAACTCTAACCTACTTTGAAATAAACAGCCTGAACTAGTCGTCTTTTAATGTAAATGCTAGGCATTATATAAGGCTTTCATCTATTGTCGTTACTACCTAAGTTATAGCCCCAACAATTTTTTTTTTTGATATTGAAGTGTGGTCCCCTACCATTATACCTATTGTTTCGAAGAAATTTGAAGCGATAATGACAGCTCGAGTATCAGACCATGCCGAATCCCTCGGTCCCTTCGCTGATCGCCAAGAGGAGGCATTTTTCGAACTGCTCGTAGCTGTCGTAGTCGGGCAGACACAGTTGATTGAAGCTGAAACTCGGGAGTTGGGCATCGAAGGCGATCGTAAAATTCGCGCGCTTACCAAGTGTGGGCGGTCGGTAGATTGCCGAAAGTGGGCGCGGCCGTAATTTGAAATCGAGGACTGAGCTCTTTGAAGCCGCCGGGAGGCAACTGCGAGCAGCCGGTTGTGAATTGCAGCAGGCGCGCCATTTCCTCCTGCGTGAAGTTGGAGACGGCCGCCCAGAACCAGCCGACGATGCGGCGAAACTCCACCGAATTTCCGTTTATGACGTGGTTCGCTTTGAAGTCCGCTATGGAATAGTGACCGGTTCCACATAGTAGCAGCTAAAAAATCACATGGGAGTAACCTGTGCATCCAAAACTGTTTTTAATTACAACAGTAGGCGCGACAGTACAACAGCAGTAAAACAAAAAGTTACAAAGTAATAAAAAACAATGGTGTTGTAAAGAATTGATACTTTTTTTAATGGAGGGGGGGGGTCTGTGATTCCCATTCTCCCTCTTCCCTTCTCAAGTCTCCACTGTAACCTAAGTTAAGATGACGCTTTGTCAACATTTTTTGTTTTACATGATCCCCTCTCGGTTAAAAAAATTCAAAATGGCGCACAGTCCCACAGAAGTTAGAAAGGTCAATTTTATGTCAAGAACATGCGTTTTCTACCTTATCCCCCCCTCGGAATTTTAAATCGATTTCTGAAACCGTTTCCAATTAGAAGGAGGTGGAACTGTGTCCGCACCAACTAACCCAAAAAAGTGCACGTGTGATGTTTCACAATGTAAAGGATTGAAAATTTTACCCCCACGTTGGTTACGCCTATGATGTTGACTTTTCTTACTGACCTTACCTATATTTTAATAAATAATGTGTCGGTATATCCGAAACTTAATTGGGGTAGATTTATGAGAATACAATTTGGCAACGTTGTGCTCAGATAAAGCGCCCATTTTAAATATCCGATCAAGATTAAAATCGATACATTACCTGAATTATACTTTGAAATCAATAAATACTGTCAAATGCAGGTAATGTATTGTCGGCTTTATTACAATTATATCAGTGGCGTACGTAGAAATGTATTCTGGGGGGGGGGGGGGCTTAAACAAGTTCGTGGCACATACAGTCACCCAGTGCGTACTAGAAGGGGGAGGGGGTGGGGGTTAAGAAATAGAAATTGGGTTGCAGGTTGCTGATGCTGGTAGTCATTTATCTATTTATTATTGTACAGGCGAAAAAGATTAGATTAGAACGGTATTTTATTTCTTACTGCTGACAGGCCCCTTTATTGCTTTTGCTTTAATTAGTCAACGAAAACTTTGAATAATAGGTATATTTATGGGCAAAAAACCAATTTCGACAAAAAATTCAAAGGGCTGTAACTTTTGATCTAGTAGTCCGATCTTGGAACTGTTTGGAATTATGGATTCTACAGGCCACATTCTATAAGAAAATATTTTTTTCCGGTCGATCTGAGACAATTTTTTTTTCTGGGCAAAAAAAGGCAGTTATCCAAATTTTTTTTGCAGGTTTGGTCAGTTTTTGCGCTGTAAAAAGTAAAAAGGGCTTCTTGTTCTTTTTACAATGAACATAAGGCAGATGGAAGAAAAAGTAAAAATAGACAATTATGGTACTCTGATTGCCTTTATTAAACAGAAGAATCTCAGTTCTCGGTTGACTTAAGCCTCATCTACTACACATATCGTTCTGTCCAGTGACAACACATGCAATGTGACCGGGTTAATGGATTATTGAGCACTAAGTAATTACGATTTTATTTGATTTGTTTTATCGAACGCTTGTAGCGTGGAATGTGTCAACGGGTCTTAAATGCGCCATTCTTACTTTACATCCTTATTGTTTCTATTTGTCAAATAAATGTTTTTAAAACCAGCCCAAATTACGAACCTGAGCGAGTTAAGATAAATTTTGCTGGTGTGACCCAGGAGTACGTTAGGTGTAATTAAAACTCTTTAGTAGGATTCTTATTTATATCAAACGGCTATGCGAAATTTCATCAAGAGTTCATATGCGCCAGCAGAGCCGTGGAGGCCACTTACCCGATATGGTATTCCACACACAATCCTATCGTTTATCGTTTATGAATCAACTAACAGCCATATTATTTTTAAAAAACCTGTTTTTACTAAAATTGCTTCTTGTGTGCATTTTGGGACACCCTTTATATTATAATTCCATTAAACTCTTCAGTATTAAAACTATTGTTACTTCATACTATTTTTTAGGGTCGTTCCCGTCGATTTCCTGCCGCCTATTAGTCAAAGTTATGTTATCTATTTTTTCCCGTTCCCGTGGTAATTTCGGGAAGTGATTCGAAGTACCCCAGGAAACCTACGTTCTAAATGTCAAGTCTATCTACCGCAGTTTCAACTGTAAAACGCAAAATCGCGTTTTCTCCCGTTCCCGTGAGAATTTCGGGAAGTGTTTTATTAATTCAGAAACCTTCGCGGGCATACGTCCAACCATTCCCCAAAGTTTCATTGCAATCAGATGAACGGTTTAGGAAGGTATTAGAGACATACAGACAGATAAACATTCATTTTTATAATTATGATTTATGCACAAACTATACAGGGGATTTTTTTGGAAGATTTAGTTAAACGTCTGGGAAAGTGAAATGGGTAGCTTTTGAAAATTTGTAATTAGGAGTTACTCTGAAGGCCGAATCGATGTTTTTAAAATTATGACTCTTCCGGAAATACCGGAAGTAGTTAGTAGCTTCGTTATTTTCAATGGGAACCCCTATTTTTTTTTACTTTTGATGCCCACATATCATATAACTACCATGATTGCTCATGTTCTTTCCATAATCTGCATTTGATGTAACCAGGGGACTTCCAAAGACGAATTGAATTTTGTCAATGGCTAATATTAAGAGATCAGGATTAGTCCCCATCCACCAGTCTAGTCTGCTGGTGGTGGTAAAATAAAAAAATTCTGTATCTGCCGGGAATCGAACCTGGGCCGCTCATTTTGTACAAATTACATTCTGGTGACATTTGGCATCGTTGTTGACCATTAGAGCCTTTACTGTAAAGTCAAGCTGAGAGCTAAAGAGTTATGGAAAGGGACTAAAAGAAAACTGTAAAATGCAGCCTTTCTAAACTCCTATTAGAATGGTGCAAGAATTTTTCAGACCATTCAAAGGCTTTACAGTGCAATGAAACACTTTTTAGAACATACCAGAGCACCCTGTCACCCTTGCAGTCTTTTCCAGATCTTTTTCAGACCTCGCTATGAAGTTCCCAAAGCCTTTCCAGATCAGACGAAGCTTTCTAAATGCTTTCCAACATCCTCTGAACGCTTTCCAGAATATTGAAAAGCTTTCCAAAGTCATAAAAATATTCAAAGGCCTTTTAGGTGCATTTTTCAACCTTACATGATCTCTATAGAAGTTTCTATCGCTTTCCAGAGCTTTTGAGTTTCTTTAGGCGGCTAACATTTAAATGAGTTGATTGAAAATCGCCCTCTAGTTGCCTTTTAGTTCTAGAAATGACATAAAATGAACTGCAAAGCTCTGGAAGAAGCTAGAATTCGTTTTGAGAACGTTTGCAGGGCACCTAGAAAGTTTCAAGGTTTCAAAGTTCTAAAAAAAACACGCCAGGAAACCCTGGAAAGGCGCTCTGGAAAAGTTCGAAGGTTCTAAGAATATCCTCTAGGGTTTTCCGAAACCGTTTTATTCATTTTCAAGTCCCCTAGTCCTTTCCAGATCTTTTTAACTATTTTTCAGAACGTTCTGGATTTTCCAAGGTTTTCCCTAAGGTATCTCCAAAACTGTCTACGTATTGTATCATTGGAAAGGGTCTAGAAAGTTGGGGCAGTGAATGAATCAATCCTTGGGGGACAAATTTGAAAATGCTTAAAATTAGATTAATATTGGTATTGAAAGTCGTCGGTCAATGAATTATAGAGATCTTGGTTCAGATCAGTCTCCAAGTCAATGATCAATTGATACAAAGGTTCAGAGTCATCAATAAATGAATCCTGTTAAACCTGAAAAGGATTTGTCATCCTCCAGGTCAAATTGGGAACTCGACATAGCTAACAGATTTATTAATTTTGAGGAGATTCACTTAAAGGGAGGTGCATTTGGGAGTTCACATACAAAATTAGACAAAAAATAAGAGGTGCACTTACCTCTAATTCATTTTCGTCAAAAATACTTAATAGATTGTCGGGTATCAGCTCGTTAAGGCCTTTCAGAAATGCATCAACTTCGTCTCGCACGCTTGTGGCGAGTCGAAATTGAGCTAAAGCATCCAAATATCGATGTTTGGTGACGTTAGTAACTTTTATTTTCGCTCCACTAGGCACGAGCTCGACCGTTTTTAACAACTGCCCTCCTCCGTCATACTCCTCCTCGACGAAATATAATTCCGTATCAATACAGTCGATGTCATTCTCCAAAAGATACTTTATCTTTGTCAGATACAGATCGGGATCGTCCTGTTCGAAGTACTTGTAATGAACACGTAAACCGATGACCTGAGCGAGAAAAGATCGAGTGAACCTCGCCCTGACCAGCTGCCGGTACGAGCCACCGAGGGCGCTTTCGTAAAGGCATTTGCCGACAATGCGGCCCGCGAATTCGAAGTGACGCAGCTTTAAATGTGACGGTCGATGCGAGTTTGGGTGCACCAACGACTGTTGACCCTCGTAAAAGCTCTTGAATAGCCCGAAGCGTGAGTCGAACAGCTGAGAGCAAATCAACTCGAACCACTCGCGACGGACGCCTCCCCAATCGACGCCCTGCTCTCCTTGGAAGGTAATTTCGAAGTTCCGACACCAATCGGATACCGAAAAGCTTTTGGTTACTTTCATGCTGGACTCGAGTAACTTCTCTCGGTTTGCTTTCATTGATAACTTATCGTGGTAATGCTTTTGGTGATATTTGCGAACCTCGTGATAGAAAAAGTCCTGTTTGTCGCGGAAGGTTTCAGATCCGCCCATATTTTTCAGTAGGAAGTTCGTGAAAGTGGCCGCGATTACGTTGCGCTCTTTCGAAGTCAGTTCGATTTTCGGTTGGCATCCGTCGTCAATAAGAAAGGTGCCCCCCAAACCTTCCACCATTTTCGTAGGACTTTCTGGCAGGAAATGAAACTGCAAGATCGTGACTGAAAAAGTTGTGCGAGAGTTTGGGTAACGTCATACCTTTGTGGACGGACACAGCCTGAATGTAAAGAGGCGTTTTGGAATGAATTTCAAAATCATCTCTTTGACAATAAGTTGTTTGGGTGATACGTAACAGAGCACCTTCTTCGGTTTGATTAATTTCTCCATGTTGATCCCTAGCAGTTTGGCCTCGTAGCATACGTTGTGATTTTTCGAGGCGATATTTTTATGTACCAGCGTCGCGTCGATACCTAATCAGAATTCATTAAAAGAGAGTTTAAGGAGTCTAAAATACATACTGTTAAGTACAATTATGTCAAAATCTCCGTTGTGCAACTCCATATTCCTATAGAAAATTGTGGCGTGATAGCATCCCTCGTAGAAGAATTTTATTTGAAATGTTAAACGAAAGCTTTGCCAGTCGTAATCTAAAACGATGATGTACTGTTCTTCGGGCGTACTGGAATTAAACTCGTGCGATCTGCTACCCAACTGTGTGATGTTCACTGTGAAGCCCTACAATCACATTTGGAATGAATTTAATAAAGGAACATTTTTGATTCTGCAATTTTCCCATATATTCTCCCGCTGCAGTCCACCACAACCTTTTATAATAATAATAATAATCATATTTATTTTAAAAAAAATTTTTTAGAACCTCATGGCATAGATTCAGCAAAACGCTGCTCTTCCATCTACACCATGACTTTTAAACAAGTTAAAAAAGTCATTATGCAAACATAAATGACGAGAGCGTATTTTCCTCCTAACAATATTCATGCTAGGACCAGGAAAAAATACCGGTAGGCACGAGATCCTTACGCCATTCTCTTTCAAATGAGCCGCCTATCGTGGAAGTCTATACGTATTTAATGAAAATTAGTGGAGCGTATACAAATACAAACAAATTTTGAAATGGGCAAGTTTTACTTTTATTCGAAGTGTCTACATATGAAACTTTTAGCATTGCGCATTGTCTGCATTAGAAATTTCATTAAATACCTTCATAAAAAAAACATGCAGCATGCGTAAACAGTAATTTTTAAAACCGGCATTAGTTTTAGTTTAATTCAAAGTGGCTACATATAATATTTCATTTAACTGCTTTCATAAATAAGAAAGTTGGTACTGCGCATGCGCAAAACAATATTTTGAAAACGTTAAATTTATTTATATTCGTAGTGTTCACATACAAAGTTTCATTTAAATATCTTCAAAAATAAAAAAGTTATAATAATAATAATAATAATAATGTCTATTATTAGTTACACATCTTGCAACAAAATTTATAACAGAAAAAAAAATTATATTTATCGTGCAACTAATTGGGCGAAGTTCATTATAAAGGGATGACACATGGCTTCTAATTATAAATAATAAAAACTAAATAATGAAAATTATTGTTGACCAGTGCGGTACAAAAATTATGAAATGATTATGGACGTAACGAGAATGATATTAAATAGGATTACTGTTACTATACAGGGTCATTCTTGACGAGCGTCAGTTAGAAAGATATGGAAAACCTTTGAAAATTAAGCTGAACTGATAAGCCCTTTAAGGGTTTTGGCACATGATGAATTGAACTAAAATATTTTCAAAATGGCGCCACTTCCGGAAATACCGGAAGTAGCCATCAACTTTGTTATTTTAAATAGGGACCCCCTATTTTTTCTACATTTTCGGATTCTACGTCGAATTTGGAGTACAACGATACCCCATAGTTGACCCTTTGCTCCAAGGGCTTCGCCGATATTCAAGTTTTTGTGTCAAAAATTGAATTTGCAGGGATAACTTTAAAAATTTATTATTCGAAAACGGTGAGAGATATTGCAAAACAGTTTTCAATGCTTTATTAAGGAAAGATCGAATTTTCTTATGGTATACGTAACCGTCTAAAAAAGTGAGACTACGTCACTTTTTCAAAGCTCTCAACTTTTAAACTTTTAAACATCCGTAACTCCATTTTTTCAAATGGCACCCCCCATTTTGTTCTTCACCCTTGTTTTCCTTTTTCCCAGACCTTTAATTTGATGCAAAATTTCAAACGCTGCTTCAAACGGTTTCCGAGATATTCCATGTTTTAGTTATTTCTTGTGGAAATTTGATAAAAAAATTAAATCGCTTGATGTTATTCTTTTGTTTTTATTATGATAATGTTTAAACGTCAAATTTTCGCTGCTTGAACTTATACTTCTCGTCAATAATGGCTCGTTTGGGTTACACTAATGAAGATTTTTTGAATTTAATATTAATAGACGGTGAATGTAATCGAATAGCTGCCAGGAAAAGCAGCGAAAATTTGACGTTTAAACATTATCATAATAAAAACAAAAGAATAACATCAAGGGATTTAATTTTTTTATCAACTTTCCACAAGAAGTACCGTTAAGACGGGGCTACTTTGGACAGCTCGGGTAAATTCGGACAACGGGACCGTTTAACATGTAAAAATTATGGGGGGGCAGTGAAATTATTCACGGGGTCACCTGATGAGAAGAGAGTGTTTGAAACAGTTGCCCTTGAACGTTTGGCGAGTATGGATGTTTTTTTCGCACCCAACGATTTTTTACGTCGGTTTCCGTAAGTAAGCAATTTTTTGACTTTTTTAAAAGTGGAAAAAGTAACTTGCGTACACCGAAACCTATTAATGATAGAGTCGTAGTTTTTCCACTTTTTGGAAAGCTTGTATGTTAGGAATGTTTCGTGTAATTTGTAGATTTTGATTAGTCCATTGTTTTTGTTCAGATCGTCCTAACCAAAAAAATCACCTTTTGAAGAGTAACTTCGGACAATGGTGCGAAGTTACAAAAGGCAACTGGGGAGCCGCCCCTACCAGAATTATTCGGTAGAAGTGTTAAGAGCAGCAGTAGCAGATGTTAAATCTAACAAAAAGAGCATAAGAGAGGCGTCGGAATTTTATGGGATTCCAAAATCGACAATTGGTGACAAAGTTAAAGGGACTCATGATAAAAATCCAGGACGGCAACCAGTGCTGAACACTGATGAAGAAGCAAATTTGGCTCATGGAATATCAACTGCAGCAACCTGGGGTTTTCCACTAGTGGAATATGATGTAAGGAAAGTTGTGCAGAGCTACCTTAACCGAAAAGGAGTCCAGATTGATCGATTTTCTGATAATTTGCCAGGAGTAGATTGGGTTAAGAAGTTCCTAAGTAGAAATAAGTACTTAAATCAGTAAGGCTTGCGCAAAATATCAAAAGAAGCAGGGCTAGCGTCAACCATGCTACTATTCAACAATATTTTGATGAATTAAAAATTTCATTAGAAGGTGTGCCTCCTGAAAACATAATAAACTATGATGAAACAAATTTTAGTGATGATCCTGGGCGAGTGAAAATAGTGTGCAAGAGGGGCAGTAAAAAATTGTGATCGAGTTATTGATGCAACGAAAACCAGCATATCCGTCATGATGGCCGCTTCTCCTTCAGGAACATTGCTACCACCGTTTGTCGTTTATAAAGCGAAGCACAGGTATCAAGAATGGGAGGAGAATGGACCCTTAGGATGCCGATATTCCTGCACACCATCTGGCTGGTTTGATGCCCGAGCTTTTGGAGAGTGGTTCCAAGAAATAGTTTTACCCTACTACCGGAATAAAGAAGGAAAGAAATTAATGATTGGTGACAACTTGTCCTCTCACATAACATTGGATGTTATTCAGAAGTGTGAAGAAAATAATATTACATTTGCCCTACTTCCTGCTAATTCAACTCATGTTTGCCAACCGCTTGATGTGGCTTACTTTGGTCCTTTGAAGAAATGTTGGAGGCGAATCCTAACCGATTGGAAATTAAAAAGAAGGGGACCTTTCCAGAAATCCGATTTTCCCACATTACTCAATAGAACATTAAATGAAATCAAAGCAACTTCTGAGAAAAATATCATTTCGGGTTTCAGAGCAACCGGAATATGGCCTCTAAATGCAGACCAAGTTTTAAAGAGAATCCCAAGACAACAGGATGAAAATAATGATCCAAATGCTTCACTGCTTTCAGACAGTTTATTAGACTTTTTAAAAACATCGAGGATGCCCGAACCTAAAACAAAGACCAAAAGAAAGCGCATAAATGTTACAGCTGGAAAAGCTGTGGAGATCAGAGATTTCAGTGCACCAGAAGCGATATTAAACCAAGTGGGACAAGAAGTAGACTTAGAAGACTTTGATGATGAACCATTAAGTGTTATGAGGGACCAAATATTAGAAAAGAAAAGGCTTGACTTACTTGAGGCCGGCCCCTCTCATCATGACGATTTTCCGACAGAGCACTTTGAAGAAGAAAATTTAACCGACAGCAACTTGAAAGATAAACCTGAAGTTCAGAACGTTAAACCTGGAATGTTTGTCATAGTAAAGGTTCCGATAGAACATTCTTCAGATATAAAATATTATGCAGCCAAAGTTATAGAAAAGGTGGGTGAAGATACTGAAAGTCCCCTTCTTCAAGTAAGATTTTTAAGAAAAAAAAAGACTGAGAAAGATACCTACTTTCACTTTCCGGATGTTCCTGACCAGAGCTATATTGAGGGTCATGATATTTTTGAGATCCTCAATCCAGTGCCTTTAAGAAGGGAACGATATAAATTTTCTAACGCGCCAAAGATTGTTCTACAGTAAGACGTTATTATTGAACCAAAAACGAGTGATGACTTGTGATATATCAAGAGTTTTTTATTTTTGTTTATTGTAAGAAAATGTTTTTTAGTTTCATACTTGTTATATAAATTTATATAATTAAGTTTTTGACTGATATTTTGATAGTAATGTTTTTTTTTTAAATAAAACACGTTAAATAATTTGAAGAATTTTTGTATTTTTTGAGTTTCTATGTGAAAACAACTCTTTTTTTTTTAAAAACTTATATTTGTGTCCGAAGTTACTTTTTAACTCGTAGAACTTCAATTTTATGCATTTTTAAATACATGTCCGAAATTACCCCACATATGTAGGTAAATTTGGACACCAGAGAAAAAAAAACTATTTTTTTCAGCAAGTCATAGCGGAACGGTGTAGTAACCTACGAAAAAAAACCTGGTTCTATTCGAAATAAAATAAGGTCAAAAAAAAGAAAAAACCTCAAAAACTGTCCAAAGTAGCCCCGTCTTACGGTAACTAAAACATGGAATATCTCGGAAACCGTTTGAAGCAGCTTTTGAAATTTTGCATCAAATTAAAGGTCTGGGAAAAAGGAAAACAAGGGTGAAGAACAAAATGGGGGGTGCCATTTGAAAAAATGGAGTTACGGATATTTAAAAGTTTAAAAGTTGAGAGCTTTGAAAAAGTGACGTAGTCTCACTTTTTTAGACTGTTACGCATACCATAAGAAAATTCGATCTTTCTTTAATAAATCACTGAAAACTGTGTTGCAATATCTCTCACGGTTTTCGAATAATAAATTTTTAAAATTACCCCTGCAAATACAATTTTTCACATAAAAACTTGAATATCGGCGAAGCCCTTGGAGCAAAGGGTCAACTATGGGGTATCGTTGTACTCCAAATTCGACGTAGAATCCGAAAATGTAGAAAAAATAGGGGGTCCCTATTTAAAATAACAAAGTTGATGGCTACTTCCGGTATTTCGTACTTTTTCGATCGGACGTCTCAATCAAAAGTTATGGACTAGACATATGGCATACCCCTAGGAATGAAGGGAAGGTGACCGCCCTGTTTATCAACGTTTGGTTCTCTTTCCCCAAAAATCACTATGGAAGTGCTAGGGGTAATCAATTCTGTCCCGAATTTTCTTCCTCTTTTCGTCATTCACCGTCATCTGCCTGTTACTTTCACTCTTTCATTTTTTCTCTCGCTTCCTTTTCTTTAGCTCTTTTTATACCTTTCCCTCTATTTCACGTTCTTTCGCTTCTTTTCTTTTCAGTTTCCCTCTGTACCTACTACTCCCCACTTTCGTACTTTTCCTCTGTTCGTATCGTGTTCCTTCTCTCTCATCTGTCTCACTCTTTGTTCGCTGTCTTTTTCTTTTGTTCGCTTCCTTTTTAATCTATCTTGCTCTATCTCAAAAAATTAACTAATTATAAGAATTAGGAAATACCAACCACCGCCTCCCGCAATTGCTGAGCGAGCAAAAATAAGACTTTAGTATTGCTTGTCTTTCGTGTGCCTTTAAGATTGATTCCAGAACATTTTAAAGGGAATTCCAAAGTACCTAATTTTCAAAAGAGTTGATAAAATTTCGAAGAGATGCTCATTCCTACTCCCCTTTCTTTTGCTCCAAGTTGGTCTTACGGTCTTGTCCTCTCCGTCTCCCCTTCTGTATAACTTTCGCGCGCTCTCACTTCTCCCTCCACAATTCTTAATCGCTATATATTTCTCCTTCTTTGGTTCTTTGTCCATTTCTCTCTCACTCTCTTCTCTACCTGCTTCTCTTTCTCAAAACTCTCCTCCCTTTCCCGTCTTACGCTTCCCATTTCACTTTGTTTCACTACCAATCTCTCTCCCCTTTCCTTTCTCTATCCCACTCTCCTCGCTTATTACCTTCGGATTTCCCTTCTCGCGCACGCTTTCGATTTTCGTCTTTTATTCTCTCCCATTCCTCTTCTGCTTTCTCTCTCTTCTAATCTCCTGCCGCTATGTTTTCAACTTTGCTTACTACTTTTTGCTTTCTCACTCTTCACCTCTCTCTATTCCTCGCCCCCTATCTCCCCAGATGTTACCGCTGGTTCTGTACCTGTCCCTCCATTTTATTCTTGTTCCTGTCTCTATCTCTTCTAAAATAAAGAAAATCAAAACACAACGTTCAAAAATAAATGTCCCCGTGTCACCGTCCCCCTTATCTGTCTCTCTCAAATGACCTCCCCTCCCCACTTTTTGGACGGAGAAGCACCAGGAATCCGAATCAAGCAAAATCTCGATGATGTCGCTACGTCTGCACCCTCATTTTCGGCTAAAGCGATTGGAACCAAATTTGGTACCTATACATATTCTTAAACAGATATTCCTCGTTCTCTGTCTTTTTCTTTCGCTATCTCACCCTATCTCAAAATTTTCTGCAGATAAAAAAAGGAACATTAAACGTAAAGGGATTTTCTCTCTCACACCCTCACTTCTGCGCTTCCTCTGTCTGTTCACACCCTCTCTCTATCTCCCTCCTACTTTCGTTTCTTCAGCTCAAGGACCAAAGAAAGAGAAATATTGTGAAACTTTCTCATTTTTGCATTCGTTTATTCCTTGTCGCACTCCTTTTTCCTTTTTTCTCTTTCTTTTCATCTTTCCCCCGCGCGCGGTTCATCAGATCCCACACTCTCGGTCGCTTTTCCCATCTGCCCATTCTTGTCTCTGTCTGTCTGATGGCCATCGTTAATCTACCTTCCCTCTATACTCCGTTCTTTTACTTTCTTTTTTTTTCTTTGGTCGAAATTAATTCCTTGCGTTGAGACATTTCATTAGAGTACCATTGAAGGATAAATCCAGTTCCCCCCCCCCCCTCCTCAAACCCCCAGTTGCTTTGTTGAGACCTTTAATTAGAATACCTACCATGAAAGATATCATCTAGTTTTTTTTCGGGTAAATGACCAATGATAAAACCTAAATCATTTTGATTCGGCTCGAAGGACTAATTTGTAACCGAGCGATATTTTCGCGTAGCTATATCGCCAACAGTAAACACCCTGGTAAAATTGAAAAAACTTACTTTATCACTCCTCCGCCGATTCCGTATCTGCAGCTCACTGATCACTTTATTAAACTCTAAAATAGTGTCGCAACGAATTTCGCACTCGGAGACACTTTTCGCGTTCTGCATGTGACCGTCTCCGCGAATGCTCGCGCGTCTCACGCGATCGAATCCGCCCTTCTGCAGCTCGACATCGTCCAAAGAAACCGATTTGCGCTTCTCCAAGTTGCTGCTTCGAAACAGCCTACGTATTCTTGACACATTTGACTTTTCGTACACGCTTCGCGAATAATTGAGGCTTGACAGCGTCGCGCGCGCAAAATGCGACGATTCTGGCAATTCAGCAGTTGCCGGGTCCGATTTTGAGTTAAACGTTTTCGAGCGCTTCACTTTGTTTCCAAACATCTTGCTTGCGTCGGAACGCCTTGGATTCCGCTGCGAGTGACGGCGATCGACTAAAGGTTATCTGTTTACATTGTACTCTTATCGCGTTATCTTGGCTAGATAACGTACTTGTATCCGTAATACTTTATACACGATTGATGAAAAAGGTGACAAAATGGGTTAACGTTTGGAAAAGTGTCGATCTCTTATCTTCGTAGCAAAATCGAAGATGAAGAACAAGAGGAAGCGAGTAAAATGAGGACATTGCGGAGCTCTGTAGAAGCAACGTTTCTGCAAAAAAGGATAAACCTATGGTCCTTTAAACAATTATCATGGAAAAAGTTAAGGTGCACTACTTCTGGGGGGTATAGACCAGATATTATAATTGTCTTTAAATTCCCTGCCGTATGCCGTGGTATACCAAATTTATTTATCGCACAAGGCGCTGACATACCTTCTTTCACGTTCGCCATGAAGCGGTACATGTGGAAATTACTGTATTTTGAGCAAAATACAAAACCAAAATTTTGAAACGGCAGTGTTACACGATACCGAAGGTGTTGAGGACGCGCAAGTAGCCTACGGAATTGAAAACCCCCTGGAAGTAAATCTTCAAAATTGCCATAATTTAACACAACGTACCACTCAGTCGTAGCATAGGGGCGCGAAACGGCCGAGATTTTGACATGACAGTTAGATGGAGCTGCTAGTAATTGCCACCTGTAAGGGTAGTCAAAATTGCAGTGCCGGTTAAGATCACTACAACCTTAAGTAAACACCAATATCTCCAGGGACGTCCAAACTCGAAGTACCGCTGCTCCCAGTGAATGAAAAAGGGCAGTCTTGTCTAATAAATGGCTCCTTTGATGATCCAAAAAGATCTTAACGCGTGTTAAGGCAAAACTTCCACTATCGTTCGTATTTATCGTAATAGTTTGGTCCAATTTTTTTTATAATTAGAGAGAGTTGTTAGCAGAGTATATTTTATTCACTAAAGGCTTTAAGTAGGTACATACGATGTGTGTGTATTTATTTATTTATAATAAATAAACTTGAATCAGCTAAAAAAATTTGTTTAATTTTCATCACTGAAATGACATCGACACCCCTGTTTATATGTACACGACCAAATCTTACACTAAAACCCAAATCTATATTATACATTGTGGCAATTGCGGAAATCATTCGCTCTCGGGTTCCTTAAGTTGAGCAAGTAACATCATCCTCTGTTTTTCTAATTCGGACTCGGAGAATTCGCCCTTACCGGTCGCAGGAGTTTTGGCCGGCCTGTGATTTGAACGTTCCTCAGATGGGGACCGCTATGGCAATCACAGAAACAAAAAGAGTTACAAACGCTTTGCAGCTGCTCTAAAATATTATTATTACTAAACGATTAACTTGATCTCTTTATTACTAAAAGATAACGTACAGTAATCTTCAGTCTTAATTTAATAATAACTCACACAGTTTAAAGAAGAAATAAAAGCGTGCAACAGTTACACATTATCGAGACATGCACACAGTTCTTAACCGCAAAAAACCTTAAAAGTAAAATTAGGAACTCACAGATACGCTTTTCTTCTTGTGCTTCTTCTTTTTCTTCTTTTTGGTGTACTCGTCTCCGCTGTCGGGCGACGAGGGCGTGTCGCTTCTCGACTTGTGCTTGCTCTTCTTACCGCGCTCCTCTTCCGATTCGCTGGTGCTGGACGACTTGTACTTCTTACTCTTCTTCGATTTCTTCGACTTTCGCGATCGTGAGTGATGGTGACTGCAAGATTCTTCCATTTCGTATTGGAATTCCTTTAAATCAAACGGTTACCTACGCGTCACCGCGCAAAAGCGAATATTTCACCTTGTAAACCTTCTCCCTCTCGCTGTCCGACGCGAACGCCTGAAACTCCTCCTCGTTCTCCAACTTCGACTTGACCTCCTCCCAGGATAGTTCGTAATCGACGTTTAATTCGCGCAGTAGATTTTTAAAGCTAACCTCCAATTTTTTTAAGCGCTTACTTTCTTCCTTAAGACGCTCCTTCTCCTTTACTTCCGCCTAAAATGCAACGCCCGTTTAAATTCGTTTCGGTTAAATCGTTTTATGAATCAATTTCAAATTGCCCACGAACGTATGGCTTGGTGTGCAAATACGAAAAATTTCCCTTTGGGCACCCTCACCAGCTCGCAGGATAAGATTGTCGCTGTAAGGTGTAACTCTCATTACCTGATGAGCGTACAAATATGATAAATTTCCCATTGAGCATCTCCACCAATACGCCGAATAAATAAACCAAAAGCGCATGATCAGGAAAGGGAGTAAGTAAGTCTTTGGTTCGGTGAAAAAATACGAAAAATTTCCTTTCAGTGTCACTTACCTTTTCCAACAGTGAATTATACGTAAGTTTAACATTTCCCGCATCCAAACTGGCACTCCTCTTATCTTCACAGACGACGGTGGCAAACTGCTCGAATGACGTATCGATCTTAACGTCAAACTCCCTCTCCTTCAGTATGTCACGTATGATTTTCTTCTCGTCGTAGAACCGCGCCTTCAAGTCTTCAACGTAAAACTTAAAGAGATCAAGCGGCGTCGATCCGCACTGTCCTGAAACGCAAAACTTCAATCTAAAACTAACCGAAACAAGCCAACTTACTATATTGAAAAAACGTACCCAGCATTGCGGAGAACCGCACGTCCGCCGAAATAATCGGATAGAGTTCGACCCACAGGGACATCGAGGTGAGCTTGCCCTCCTCGTGAAGCGCGTCGAGCAGCGCCAAGAACTGGTCGCGGTTCTTCCGACACTGCCGCTTGAAGCGCCTCTTCTCCCTCTCCTTGTCCTCGACCTCGTCCTTCTCCAACTGACGGATGTGCTCTTCGAACACGATCAGCGCGTCCTCCTTGTCCATCGCTAGCACACACCGAGTAAACGCAAACGAACCCAACCCCCGACTACTTACCGAGCAGGTTGACGTCGTTTTTAAACGCGGTGTTCCCCAACAGCAGGGCCTGCGCCTCGCTCCACGTCGTATCGTAGTTGATGTCGGCCATGTTGTCTAAAACCTCCGCCAGTTTTTTCATGTTGCGCTTCTTCAGTACCTTAGACTCGTCTTTCTCTCGCTTGGCCAAGGCGAAAACGACATCCTCGTAAATCTCTCTCCGATCGGAATCGGGCACAGATTGCCACACCTGTTGAAGCAAAGGATCAAAATTTACAACATTGTGCCACGATTTGTGCAGTATTCGTTTTCAATGGTCCTCCATTACTCGGCTGTGAGGACCTTTTTTTGTAGTTCCATGGTGATTTGCGCTGTACTTTTTTTCAAAAAATTAGAAAGTACTTCTCTACCCTCCTTCTGTGCAAAAGATTTGTAGAATGTTCATATTCAAAAATTTTTAAAAATTCTTCTTTATTATCTACCACCCCACTCATTTTCAAAAAAATTAAATATTGAACTACATACGGATCGCGTGACCATTTTTTTTTAAGTTCCAAGGTTATTTGCGCTGAGCTTCTTTTCAAAAAATTAGAAAGTAGTTCTTTACCCTCTTATGACCATCTGTGACACAGATTTGGGGAATATTCACGTTAAAAATAAAAAATATTGAACTACATACCTTCCGTGCCGACAAATTATTTGAAGTCCCAAGGTTATTTGTGCTGTTTTTTGTTTCAAAAAATATGAAACTGTTCGAAACTTAAAAAAAATGCTTCTTTAAGCATCTACCACTACACTCATCTTCAAAAAGTGAAATATTGAACTACATACCTACCGCGCGGACCATTTTTTTTAAGTCCCAAGGTTATTTGGGCTGTTTTTTGTTTCAAAAAATATGAAACTGTTCAAAAATTAAAAAAAAATGCTTCTTTAAGCATCTACCACTACACTCATCTTCAAAAAGTGAAATATTGAACTACATACCTACCGCGCGGACCATTTTTTTTAAGTCCCAAGGTTATTTGGGCTGTTTTTTGTTTCAAAAAATATGAAACTGTTCAAAAATTAAAAAAAAATGCTTCTTTAAGCATCTACCACTACACTCATCTTCAAAAAGTGAAATATTGAACTACATACCTACCGCGCGGACAATTTTTTTTTAAGTCCCAAGGTTATTTGGGCTGTTTTTCTTTCAAAAAATATGAAGCTGTTCAAAAATTAAGAAAAATGCTTCTTTAAGCATCTACCACTCCACTCATCGTCAAAAAATGAAATATTGAACTACATACCTACCGCGCGGACAATTTTTTTTGAAGCCCCAAGGTTATTTGGGCTGTTTTTTGTTTCAAAAAATATGAAACTGTTCAAAACTTTAAGAAATGCTTCTTTAAGCATCTACCACTCCACTCATCTTCAAAAAATGAAATATTGAACTATATATCTACCGTGCCGACAAATTATTGAAGTCCCAAGGTTATTTGTGCTGCTTTTTGTTTAAAAAAATATGAAACTGTTCAAAAATTAAAAAAAAAATGCTTCTTTAAGCATCTACCACTACACTCATCTTCAAAAAGGGAAATATTGAACTACATACCTACCGCGCGAACCATTTTTTTTTAAGTTCCAAGGTTATTTGGGCTGTTTTTTGTTTCAAAAAATAAGAAACTGTTCAAAAAATTAAAAAAATGCTTCTTTAAGCATCTACCACTCCACTCATCTTCAAAAATGAAATATTGAACTACATACCTACCGCGCGGACAATTTTTTTTTGAAGTCCCAAGGTTATTTGGGCTGTTTTTTATTTCAAAAAATATGAAATTGTAAAAAAATTTTAAAAATGCTTCTTTAAGCATCTACCACTCCACTCATCTTCCAAAAATGAAATATTGAACTACATACCTACCGCGCGGACCATTTTTTTGAAGTTCCAAGGTTATTTGGGCTGTTTTTTCTTTCAAAAAATATGAAGCTATTCAAAAATTAAGAAAAATGCTTCTTTAAGCATCTACCACTCCACTCATCTTCAAAAAATGAAATATTGAACTACATACCTACCGCGCGGACAATTTTATTCGAAGTACCAAGGTTATTTGGGCTGTTTTTTGTTTCAAAAAATATGAAACTGTTCAAAAATTTAAAAAAATGCTTCTTTAAGCATCTACCATTCCACTCATCTTCAAAAAATGAAATATTGAACTACAAACCTACCGCGCGGTCAATTTTTTTTTAAGTCCCAAGGTTATTTGGGCTGTTTTTTCTTTCAAAAAATATGAAGCTGTTCAAAAATTAAGAAAAATGCTTCTTTAAGCATCTAGCACTCCACTCATCTTCAAAAAATGAAATATTGAACTACATATGTACAGTGTGGACAATTTCTTTGTGATCCCTATGGCTATTTGGGCTATTTTTGTTTTCAAAAATTAAAAAAACCAGACCACTCACCTCCAAATTAATGAAGATTTCGTCGCAACGATAGTACTTTGTGGCGGACGTAATTTTATCCGAATTCAGCAGGAAATCCTCCAACGTCTCCTTCGCCTTTTTCGCCTTGAGCCGATTCTCCTCCTTTTCGTCCTTCTGCTTTTGCGTCTTGTACGCGTTGAACACCTGCTTCTTCTCGTTCAACTTCTTGAACGTCTCGTAGCGCGGATCGTTTATGATCACCTTCAGGCACTGCTCCCAGGAGGCGTTCGACGCGACGTTGCAGTCCTTCAGCAGGTCCTTGAAGGCTTCCATCGCCTCCTTTTTGTCTTTGAAGACGCGCGGTTCGGGTGTGGAATTACGCGATTCGGCGGGCGGTTGTATGCTGTGCGTCGATAAATTCGAATCCTCATCTACAAAATTGTTTCAAAATTCCAAAATTCCGGAGTTAGCTCACCTTGTTTGGGTGGGGGTGTCGGCAAGTTGATCGCGGCTAACGTAGCCGCCATCGCCGACTCCAAGGCGCTCTTACCGCCTGGACTTATGCCTAAAAAGTGAACTGTATACAAGTGCTCGGTCAAACACCGTAACCTACTCGCAGAATTGGTGGTAATCGGCGAACTGATGGTTGGCGTATTTCCCCCCGTAGTTGTGTGCACCGATAGCGGACTGGCGACCTCGGCGACCGGTGGAGTCAATGGCCGCTTGTTGTCCTCATCCGAGATTTTCTTTTTTATTTCTTCCAGCTCGGGCGGAATGACCCAGCGCGACTCCTTTGTGTTGATATTGTGATAGTAGACCTTGCCGTTATCGGCGGTGTACTCTTTCCAGGCGCATTGCGACAGTAGCAGCTTAAAATTGACAGTTGAAGAGAGTTGGGCCACGCCCTCGCTTACCTCGGTTGCGGATTTCAACGTGTCAGGTTTCTGCCAGGAACTTTGCTTAGTGAGCGCGTTGTAGTAGTACGTCCTACCGTCGGGTGCCTTATGCTCTGTCCATTCCTGTCCTTGGGTCGGATGAGGCGGAAACGAGTTAAAGCCGGGCGGCGGTACGCTGAACGATGGTATCATGGGCGGAAAGCCGCCCATCGGTGGCATATGAACGGGTGGCATCATCGGTGGGGTCGGCATCGTCGACGGAGGTGGCCCAAATCCGGGAGGAGGTATGTTCGACAGCGTGTGATCCTTGAAAAACGAAAGTCGGTCACTCTTTTAATATAAAAACGCGAAAACAGCAGATAAGCGCATTCTCTACGGGCACATAAAGCGGTTTTTAGCGTACCATTTAACTTGCTTTAGAAGCAACTTATGCAAAATAAAGGCACTACAAACGTTAAATTAATGCTATATTATTAATTAGCACGCAATAACCAACGTTTTCGCTCATAATTCATATGGACAAGCCCCAGATGACATAACCTTAAATTTAGGCGTTCGCGTTGTTGAATAGTTGTATACGTGACATTGCAACTACTTTTGTTGTAATTGAACTACTTTAAAAAAAATGTAAAAAATTAGTTAAAAGGTTCCTTTTCAGTTTTCAGAGGACATTAGGAGTATTTTCGCGGTTCTTGAAAACCTTTGGAATCACAGTCAAACTCTTAAAACGTTTCTAAAGGTTTTCAGATACTCGGAAGAGCGCGCGCTAAGTTTGTGGTATTATTTGAGTTTATTGATACTTTTTCATATCTGCACTTTTAAAGGCTCTTGAATATTAAAACGTTAAACCTAAAATTCGGTATTTTAAATTCTTAACCAAAAATTCAAAATGGTGGTATGTTGCGTACCCCCTAAACGTAGTTTGTGGATATGTTCAAGAGGAAGATTCAAAGAACATCTTGGTCTAATTTGAAAACTATAATTTTTTTAATTTAACCTAGTTTGACTGGGCAACATTATGTAAACGCCCATGTCTATTAAAGTCCGTAGAAAGCTCTTCGAAACCCTTGAAAATTATGAATTGAAATGCAATTGCATATAACATTTTTATTTTCCTGTGAATTGAATTAAATTTTCTTTGAATTGAAGTAAGAACCAAATCTGAACGCCGAAAAGACAAATTACTTATGACACATCACCCTGTATATTCCACCATTCAAATACAAAACGAACTACTTTGACAACATCTTGAACTACTATTCACCTAACCTTACAATTTGCAATGTTAAACATTTATAAAAGTGCTTTTCTAAGGTCTGTTACGAACAGAACAATTCTTTTAAAGGTGAGTTTCTGTTGAAATGTTTCCGTAAATGAAGTATTTGCCTTCACAGGCACCTGCTAGTACATCGAGTAACATCCCGAAGAATGCCCTCGAAGACAAGATTAGCGCACATCAGCAGAAAGAAAACGGAAGCGTTTACGACAAGAAACCGTTTAAAATAACTCTAGAAGCCGGTGAGTTTTGATAATCCACTAGGCGCTTACTCAATTGTGTTTAGGTAAAAAGTACTTTTGGTGTCTCTGCGGCAAGTCAAAGAGCCAGCCCTTCTGCGACGGTACCCATAACAATGTGTATTTAAAAATCAAACTGAGGTAGTATGCTACTATGCGCTACAGAAATGATTGTTAGTTCGTAGGCCGGTTAAGTTTCAAGTCGAGGAGACGAAAGATTATTGGCTCTGTCAGTGTAAGCATACGGGCTTAAGGCCGTTTTGTGACGGCACACACAAGCTGAAAGTGGTGCAGGATGCGACATCCGCCGTCCGCCAATAAACACGTTATATAATGTAGTCTTTATATTTTAACTATTTTATAATTACAAACATGATCTAAGTATCGTTTTTGCTAGAGTCTGTTTTCGGCTTTGCTTCGACATTAGTTAATTCGTGTTCAAGTCTTTCTTTGGCACGCACAATCTTCGATTGAATGTAAAACGTTCCACCTTTCTCTCGTTCGTTCTGTTTAAACAAAAACTCGTACTGTGTTTTGATATCGGCACTATTTATGTCTTTAACGTTTAAAATTTGTTTGGCTTCCTCAAGCGTTAGGCCCAACTTTAGGTTGTCGAACCGTTCCGCTCTGCTCTTCTGGTTGCCTAATCTTTGAGCCGCCTCTTGGGACGCCTGCATTTCTTGCCTAACGGCCCTGGCGAACGCTCGGGCGACGACTTGGGTGCCCGTTATAATTATTTGAGCTATAAATCTAGCCATTTCAAAACATTCTAAAGATATAACCTTCAAAGCTACTGCGTGTAACCTTTAAATTTCTCCTGAATGAAGTTAGCTAGTGGTCGCATTCCATAAAAAAATAACGGGGCGGGTTCGTTCAGCAGGTTCAAGGTTCTTTTAAGATTCTTTCTTTCCTGATTCCTGAAGAATTTGACGAATCTGAACAGTTGAATAATTGCGGTAATCCAGAAGGGAAATTGGAAGAAACAAACATTTTAAGAATTGAGAAAATATTATTATTCAAAAAATCAAAAACTTTGTGAGATGTGAAGAATCTGGAGAAAGGAATTGTAGAATTGAAAGCACTCGAAAATGGAAGAACTTAAAGGATTCGAGGGAACATAATATTTCGAATAATTCCCGAAAACTGAAGAACTTATGATTCTGAAGTCTTCCAATTGGAAGACGAATGAACTTAAGGCTGAAAAGGAAACGGAATAGTTTGAAGTATCCAAAGAATAAGTGGTTTAAAGGATCATAAGGAATGAAAAAATTGGAGTATCTTCCTAAAGAAATCGGCAAGTAAGTCATAAATTGCCTTGCTATCACATGCGCAATAATTACCCTCCATACACTGCATCTGTTAAAATAAGCATCCGGAAAAAATGGTTATAGGTAAGGGAAAGGGGCGTATTATACATATAACAATTCTTTATTTTAAAAAATTGCGTACTAGAAGCAGTGCATTAACATTTTCCATATAAGTATATTATAAATGGCCGTGTCTCAATAAATCTACTAACATTTGGGCTAATTTCCATATAAAAACAATTTTTATATAAAAATTGTACAAAAAGGATCGCGGACACTTATTGCTTCATACTGAACACATAAAGTCAAAACGTAAGTGCAATCATAATTTAACCGGTAGGTAAAGGTAAGGTGAACATCACATTATTTTCCCTTTCCCGAGGAATTCACGCGAAACGGTCAACATAATACACATACAAATCTTAATAATTCACTTTACGGTTACTAAAAATATCTAGCTAGTTTTCAACTACATTGACACTTAAGTCTAATGGTAATCCACTGTTTTCCGTTCTGTACATCGGCGTAGATGCAGGGGAGTGTCCGATCTGCAATTAAAATTCAATTCATTAATCGCATCAAAAACGTATGAAGTACGAGGGTAAATATAAAATATATCAGGAAGCTTCCGGACATCATTCTCAGTTCCTGAAAACTCTGCGACCCTTAAACGCCGAAATGTCCAAGTTTAAATTTAAATCAATTTTTAGCAAAACGGGGGATCAGCTCGTAGTCAGAGTCAATATCCAAACAGGCTCCCACAGAAAACAACGGGGCTATAATCGTTAAATGGCTATCAAACACACGTAGTAATTACAATTCGAGCAGTATGTAACCAAACGTTAATATCATGCAGTCGTCGCAAAAAACACTGGTTGTAATGGTCTTCTGAGCTCAGAAGGGCGCTTTTCTGCCTTATCTGTAAGAGATAACAACACAAACAAACAAGAGGAGTAGTGAATAGTGCGGTACAATAATATTGCGCTAGCAATGTCTAACGTTTGACACTAGTATACTAAAACCGTAAAAATACTCAATAAGAATCAATAATATAAATGACTTCACACTAACATCAGCAAAATTTTGAGCGACCAGGGACACGAGAAAACTACTTTACTATGCAAATAACTAAATTTTTATACAACAGCAATGTAATATAAATTAAATAATAATACAAAACCCAAAAGGTTTCGTAATACAAGAAAAGAAAAGAAAATGGCGACCTCTAGCGGCGAAAATAAAGAAACTATTGTAAATTAAACGAATCCTACGAACTTCTACAAAGTTAGGAACTGTTTACTCTAAACCCATGCGAATCTTAATCTAAATTAAAGCTCTTAACTTTATTTTGAAAATTGATTACGGATTTTCCAAGGCTCCAAACACAAATTAAAGAATTTTAAAGCCTCTAGAAGGCGTTTTTGAGTCTTTTTAAAACCTCTGAAGATTCATGGCTTTGATAAAAGGTTTTTCAAGACTCTAAAACCATTTAATTTAATTTTGGGACTCTTGGCGCCTTTCGAAATTTTTAATTAAGGTGGGAAGGAAGAGTAAAAGAGACTTAAAGAGGAAGTGTAAGTGACGGAAGTTTTTATAGCTTCACGGATATGAAGAAAATGAAAAAGAATAGCGAGGAAATGTACGGAGGAGTGTAGTGACAGAGATGTGATGCAGTTGAAAAGGGGAGGTGAAATGAAGCTTTAAAGTAGGTCTGAAGATGGCATGTTGGACACGGCCTAGAGAAATAAGTATGGAAAGTGTGGATCTTGGTAGGGTTGCGCAGCTTTAGGTATCGAGTATTAGGGAGTATACGGGGTGTTCAAATTGAAAAGTCGGTTTCGAACAAAATTGTAATTGTAGGTTCGCAATTATGACACTAGAACGCGTATAATTGGTGGATTCAAAAGAATAAAATTAGCTAATGGTTAAAGATGGCCGATTTCATTAATCAAGCGCCATTTAAAAGTAGTAGAAAAACAAGTTGGGACGTGTAAGGGCGAAGGAAGTAAAGAAGGATTCTTCGATTAGTCATCGAACGAGAAGCTACTTTTTTTGGCTCGCGAGAGGGGATAAAATACTCACCATTCGGAATCTCCATCCTGCTTGATCGCGTTATAGTTGGATTTCTTCGTCTTGAGCATACGTAGGAAGGAGCCGAGCGCGAAAATTGACCGTCTGTGCCGCTGAATGATCTCCGAGTAGAGCGTTTCGCGCAACATCTTCCTGTCGACGTCCTTACTCGTCTGCTGGTGATTTTGAAGCGTTTTGCATTTGCAGTCCATCGCGCGCGCGTTTTTTTTTGGCACACCCTGTATGTTTGAAATATCACAGAGGGATTGTTGTTCTAGTAAGTGCAAGCAACAGTGTAATTTCTATTTAAGGCGGTTATTAGCAAGGCAATGAAGATACGTATGTTGTTGTTGTTGTTGTGGTTTTTTCTGTTCTGTTTTAAGGCTTCTGCTGTATCAAAAATTGTCAATTTAGAATTTGGCGCACTATAATTCACTTATTTTTTATGAGCTGCTTTAGAAAATTGTAATGCACCTCGAAATTTTCGCGGTAAATTGTACTTAACGATTGGTTGCTAGGAACATTCTTTTTTAAAACGGGGGCCTTCACGAGAAACCTCTTAAAGTCATCAAACTCTACGGCTTCGTAGATTTCCTTCAATTGTTTGCTGTACACGTTGGCGTTCGTGTAGTTTTTCACGTTCACTTTGTACACTTCGCGCTTGGAAAAGTGATCGGTTTTTCCAAATTGTCTTCGAGCCACTGTGGCCGGAGCGCTTAGGGTGATCTCCTTTACATTGCAATTGCGTGTCGCGTGTCGCGGAAATTTCTGCAGTTTGATACCTTGCCCGCACACTCTCAGACATTCACTCATCGTTCACTTGTTGATCTTCCGACATTGTCGCGATTTTTTGCGTTGTAAACTCACAGCGAGAATCTCCTCTGTTTACCCATCTCTTTCGTAATCAATACGAGCATATGCCATCTTTGTTTATCAGTCGAATTAGGGGCGAATAAGATGACACGGTAATCGATACCCCACTTTGAATTTTTAATGCGCCCGTCTCGCACGCACCTTGCGATTCGATTCATTCTTCCGGCATTATCGTTCGCGGCCCATCATCATCGGCGAACTACTTGCCCTATTTAGTAAATGCGCCAGCTTCCCTAAGGGTAAACGCCGCCATCTGTTGGCGAGTCGAGCGCCATCTTCCATGCGTCAACTGTCGCCACCGGGCTCGAAGAAGGTGCGAGAAATACAAACCGAGTCCGATTGCAGACGAAAATCAACCCTGAAGAGATTGTGCGTTGCTACAGTCACCGAGATATCCCGAAACTTCACCGGATCAATACACGCGCCACAAATAAGATGCGTTGACCGACTGCTCCGTTGAGCGTAATTAATGTGTAAACCGCAGAAAAATTGCATAAGCGCCTCATTAAAGAATTAGGTCACTATTCTGGGATTAAATTATGTGGAAGGGGTGGCCGAGACGCTTATTACGCACAGTGCCGTTTTATTGGTTTAATTAAGTTCGAGAAAAAAATGGCACCCTTAAAGATTCTTTAAAACCTGAGCTCTTAAAGAACAATAAAGGATATAAAAGGCTTTTGGAGTTCTCACACTCTTAAAAGCTCTCTTTGAAAGAATCTTCTCGACGATACACTAGTTTAGACTGTGATTTTGGTCATTCTTATGTTTTCTCTTTCAATCGTCGGATGTAGGGATTTTTTTAGTGTACAGGGTGGCCAAATAAGAATGCGAGGTACTGTATCTGAGAATGTATCCATCGTAGAGGCTTGCGGTAAAAAAATTTATTACTAAAACGGCCACGAGCAAAACCTGGAAAATATTTTTAAGTTTCTGAATTGGCCGCTAGGGGGCGTAACTGCAATCTGGAATCTAAAAAAGTGATGTTTCTGTGAATTCCGCTATATTAACCTAACAAAAAAATGTCCGGTCTTTGAAGTTGACGATAATCTGAACAATTTTTGTTTGACAATTTTTCCTGTATCTCTAAAAATGAAGTGGGGGGGGGGGTATTCAAAGGTTTCTGTAAAGAACACCCTGTATCTTCGAAACGGTTCAGATTATCGTCAACTTCAAAGACTGGACATTTGTTTGTTAGGAAAAATCACTTTTTTAGATTCCAGATTGCAGTTACGCCCCCTAGCGGCCATTGCAGAAACTTAAACACACCTTCAAGGTATAGGATACACATTGCAAAAAATTACAGGACTCTAGGACCATTCCCCTAAAAGTAGTTCAAAACCGCAGAAGTGGACAATAGCACATTCTTTTGAATTTTTAAAAATGCGCTAAAAAGGTCACATGGATACGGGCGAGACTTTAAATTGATTTTAGTAGTTGAAATGGTTTCTTCTAGGATAGATCTGAATTTTTTTGGGGTTGCGCAGTTTTTTGAAACTAGTTTATATAAGATTTAAAGGGTTCTTGTCAAATTTCTTTTCAGAAACTTGACGAATAAAATCCTGGTAAGTTCCTTATGCGGATGGTGATCAGGAGTACGATTAACGTTTGATCAGTGCGTGTGAGTAGTACCTATTGATCGAAGAGTCTCGAGTTTGTGCGCGAATAAAGGAGTGCTTGGTTCCGTTTCGGATTTTCGGGCGGGCATGTAGGTGAAAGGAAAAAGACGAGGTGGAAGGGCAGCAGCTCAAGCGTAAAGGTCGTCTCAACAATTTTGAACCATAAAAAAGTCAATTGTTGTTCTTTTTATATAAATTTGGCCTAGGGCCCCGTAGAAAAGATGCGATAGGAATTTTGTCGAGTTTGATTTTTACTCGCAGTATGAGTATGGGTTTGCTTTGTCTTCGTTAACACGATTCGAGATCCTTCGGATAGAGGCCAAGATGGCGAAATTGTAATTTGCTTGGCAACTAAAGTTGTTCCAATCCCGCCTGCCTTGTGGAAGGAGATAGACGTTGAGTTGCATCAAATGTTGGATAAGAGTGTCATCGAAGCCTCCAAGACTCTTTGGAGTAGTCCGATTCTGATGGTAAAAAAAAAGGATGGGTCATGGAGATTCTGGGTCAACTTTCGTCAGCTCAATAGACTTACTAGGCGCGATGCTTATCCTTTGCCGTCTGTTTCGAACATTCTAGAGTTTGGACATAATGTCAGCTTATTGGCAAATCTCTTTTACTGAGGAACCATTGACAGACTGTATCAGTTTAAACGACTTTGGTTTGCACACAGCACCGGATACTTGGCAAACGACTAATAGAGCGAGTGGTGGGGGTAGATTTGGAGCCTTTCTGTTTTAAAACTTTAGGCCAGCACATTGAGGTTTTGACCAAAGTGTTCGAGCGCTTGAAAGTTGCAAAGTTAATTCTAAATGAGGTAAAGTGTCAATTTTGTTGGAGTCAGGTAAAATGTTTAGGCCAACTAGATCCGATCTTAATGATAAGGTCTATCGAATCCATTTTCTCCAATCGGATGCAACGAAACTCGGCTAAGTTAGCGCCAAGGTATATCGTACCGTTTGTGGTAGGTTTAGAGGCACTTTTCGTTTTAATTGTATAGCTTTGGTAATTTATTCAATTTAGATGAGTGAGATACCCCTGGTCGAATGCGCGTTATTACAAAAAGGGTAGATCTGGTCGTTGTGATAAGAAATTTTATTGTTAGGCGAAATTTAATTTCGCTTCCGTTTATTTTGTGATGGCAGTGGTGTTCACTTAAATACTGGAGTTAACGGCAAGACGCGGCTTTTTTTTCGCGACGGTTTGAGAGCGTGGATTTTTCTTTACGCTAAATTTTTCGGGCAGTCAGCCTATGTGTGTGTGAAAACGCATTTCGTTAGTATTGTAGAAGAAGTTAAGCATCTAGGCCACCGAAATTTTAGCAGATTCCGGAAGGAGGAGGAGGAGGAGATATTATAAAATTCTAGGTTTCAATTTTGATTTGTATTGAGCTAGCTGGACAGATGTAGTGATCGCGTGGGCATTAACACACGGCAATACTTTAAATATACAATGAGACATATCAAGTTTAGTGTTGCTCCATCCACGGAACCCACGTATTGTTGTAATAAATCGGATTCGCGTTCGGATCGATTTCCTGATGATACTGAGGTTGGAGCACCTCCCAATACGACAATAGCTGCGCGCCTAAATCGGCGACAGCATTTGGAAGATTTTCCGCTAAATTCTTGGTCTCGCAAGGGTCATTCTCCAAATCAAACAAGCAAAAGTCCTCACACGAGACCGGCTGTTCGTCCCCGTGTTCACACGTGACCGTGATTTTCTTCCGAGTTTGAAGAAGTTTCTTTTTCGTCAATCCCTTGTTAATTACTTTATTGGTCGGGCTGTCCAGTACCAGGTCAGGGTTGTAAGGAGGGTTGTTGGTTGAACTTGTGTCATTGCCGTAGTACCCGTCCCGTCCGAAGGTTGGATTCAAAACAGAACCTGCACTCAGTGAGAATACCAGCGTCATTGTCAACACTTACCGTTCACCAGTTTGTAACGACCTCCATGTGAGATCACAGCGGAATGTAGGGCAACTTCGTTTATATCTAAAAGGACACTCGAACGAGGTGATTTGCTACCTTCACTGATTGTGGTCCATTGATTGACGCCGTCTATGGTACCCAGATCTCTGATGGTTCCACCTGAAACTCACTGTAGAGCGATAATGATAGCACTGGGTGCATACCAGCGGCGGCGTACAAAGTTGGTAACAAGTCAGTTATGTGCATAAGTTGGTTGTTGATGGTAGCATTTGTTTTTAGTTTACCGTAGTATAATACTGCAGGAGAGCGCACACCACCCTCGTACTGGGTCGCTTTCATCTGTAACAGAAATGGAACAGGTTATGGAACCGGGCTCGCACTGCACACTTACACCACGTAGAGGCCAATTGGATCCGGCATTATCAAATCCATTGTCCGTGTTTTGGGCGCCGTTATCAGACAGAAATAGAATGATGGTATCTTCGAAGACACCCCTGTCTCGCAACGTCCTGCAGATCGCACCGACAGATTTGTCAAGTTCCGCAAGCATTCCAGCAAACAACCGCCTTCTGTAGTCCCTAACGTAGCCAAACGTTTGATTGGTTTCGACCAAGTCGGGCACCTGTAACAGTTGGTTCCGATTGGCCACATGCATAGCCAAGTGAGACACCATCAGGAAGAGAGGATTGGTGTAATTGTGCTTCATGATCGTCTCTTGGGATACTCGGGTGAATAGTCGGGTGGCATACTCGTTTTGGGTCTCCCACGCCACGTGTCGATTTCGACGCATTGCGAAGCCACCTTCAGCGGTATGACTGAAGTAGTCGATGTGGCTTGTCCAATATCCGAAATGCGTATCAAACCCGCGATAAATCGGCGTACTGTTCCAATATGAGAATCCGAGATGCCATTTTCCCACCAAGCTCGTCGTGTACCCGAGACCTTTCAAATGGCCTGGAAGCGTCTTGAGGTGCGTCGGCAAATATATATTGCTGTCGCTCCTAAGTGACAATCCCTGAAAACCTGAAAAGTGGCGATAAAAATTATCGCGAGGGTACTGACTAACCGTAGCGAATTGGGTACTGGCCGGTTAGTAGGGCGCTACGCGACGGCGTGCACGTCGATTGGACGTAAAATCGATTCAGCACTATCCCATTGTACGCCAAAGCGTCGATGTTGGGAGTCAGAATCTGGTCCGACCCATGAAACCCTACATCATTCCAACCCTAATCATTTGCGTTAGTTATCTGTTCGTCGATTAAGTCTTACCAGGTTATCGGCCACAATTAGCACAATGTTTGGTTGATGTTTATCACTAACCACCGCTCCCCATGAAAGGAAAAACACAAGTAAATCGATCAAATGTAAAGAAATCAGCTTCACTGCCATTGCTATTAGCTTAATGTGAATTAACAAAGTCAATTAACCAACTGATACCGCACAATCATGCGTGATATGGATTGATAACCCATGATTTTGTATAAAAAACACTGTGTCTGCCCTGACCGACTTTTTGGACAACGCTTATACACTTCCCGTTAGGGAGCCATCTGCATACCAAACAAGCCTCTCAAGTTTGAGGAAAGGGCGATCTGAGCCACTGCCCTTTGTTCGGGAGAGTCCGGACATGATTCATTCTTGTGAGGAGGAGATCGGATCATAGAGGAAATATACCAGTCGGTCCTTTTTACATGCCCACGGAGATTGAATGGGAATACACAAAGTTACATTTTTTTAATTAGAGTACTAAATCTCCCTCTAAACTTAAATGCTCTGTATTTAACAGCGCGTCTTCTTAGAATTATATGGTCGAAAAGATGACTATATTTTGAACCACGCAGTTGACGGCCTCGTGGCCCAAAAACGAATTTAATTTTCCGCTCTCGTAAAAACTCAGCTCTACGACGGCTCATTCATACATTTTCTCTCTTCAAAATCACGCATCCTACAATTCAGCAAACAGTGGACATGTTTCTTATCAATGACAGGATATAATAAGCTCGATAAGCTATAATGTGGCACCATTAGAAGAATTCCATGACGCGTCTCCAAAGAACTGAGCTTCATTATAACTAGGCAAACTTCTTACTGTATTCCAGTTAACATAAACATAAAGAACAAAAACTGTCACAACCTCTAGTGACAGCAGAGTGGTCACTGTAAAATTACCTCTAGGTTGGTTTCCGAAGGTCACCATGCACTAGAGCAAGTAGCAAGCGGCAATACCCTTGAGCTGGCGAGGATGGAAGGTAATGAGATCAATTACCGTCCGGTGGTACGTTCTCTCTCTGCAATATCACTTGGAAGGGGATCTGGTGATTTGTTTCACAAAACCAACCATGAGATTTTTGTAGGTTCTTGTGGTGGGAGAACCAGCACAAGTAAACCCCCACGATGGTACCATGGGGAAGGGATCTGGGTTGCGGGAAAAAAAGTCCTTCTTTGCTTTTAATATAATATTCCTTTCTTAGGGAGTATTCCATACCCCCAAGACCTACCCATCTTCTCTGCAACATCTCTTAGAAAGGGAACTGATGGCATTTTTGCCATCCTTTATCCTGATGAGACTCCTGAAGGCTTAACATTTTGTGGAAGGTAGTGCGACCGGGAGGACTGGGCGGGGTATAGAATACCCCCAGTACACGACAGTTACCTTGAAATTTCCAGAAAACCCTCACGAAGGAAACCATGGAAAAGGGATCAAGGTTATGGGGAAGAGTTATCAAGTCGTTCCTTGTTTTTAATATTTAATATTGTGTGTGCGTGTATTCCAAACCCCAGGTACAACGTTCTTTGTAGTGCTTCTTAGGAGCAGAAGATCTGATGATTTTTCCTCAAAAATACCACGAGATTTTTAGTAAGTACGAATTTGCTTACGATAACCTTCCTTTTTTACCAAAATTCGACTACACCCAAATTTCTCGGGAAAACACTTTTTCTTATTATTTTGGGTGCGTAGAATCCAAATCAATTCGTACTTTTTCGATCAGATTTCTCAATCAAAAGTTATAGACTAGTAACCAATTTCGAAAGAAAATTCAAAGGGCTGTAACTTTGGAACTAGTATCCCAATCTTGGAACTGTTTGAAATTATGGATTCTACAGGCCACATTCTATAAGAAAATTTTTTTTCCGGGTCGATGTGAGACAATTTTTTTTTCGGGGCTCAAAAAAAGGCAGTGTATAACCTTCCTTTTTTACCAAAAATCGACTACACCAAAATTTCTCGGGAAAACACTTTTTCTTATTAATTTTGGTGCGTAGAATCCAAAACAATTCGTACTTTTTCGATCAGACTTCTCAATCAAAAGTTATAGACTAGAAACCAATTTCGAAAAAAAATTCAAAGGGCTGTAACTTTTGAACTAGTAGCCCAATCTTGGAACTGTTTGAAATTATGGATTCTACAGGCCACATTCTATAAGAAAATTTTTTTCCCGGGTCGATCTGAGACAATTTTTTTTTCGGGGCTCAAAAAAAGGCAGTGTATAACCTTCCTTTTTTACCAAAAATCGACTACACCAAAATTTCTCGGGAAAACACTTTTTCTTATTAATTTTGGTGCGTAGAATCCAAATCAATTCGTACTTTTTCGATCAGACTTCTCAATCAAAAGTTATAGACTAGAAACCAATTTCGAAAGAAAATTCAAAGGGCTGTAACTTTGAACTAGTAGCCCAATCTTGGAACTGTTTGAAATTATGGATTCTACAGGCCACATTCTATAAGAAAATTTTTTTTCCGGGTCGATCTGAGACAATTTTTTTTTCGGGGCTCAAAAAAAGGCAGTGTATAACCTTCCTTTTTTACCAAAAATCGACTACACCAAAATTTCTCGGGAAAACACTTTTTCTTATTAATTTTGGTGCGTAGAATCCAAAACAATTCGTACTTTTTCGATCAGACTTCTCAATCAAAAGTTATAGACTAGAAACCAATTTCGAAAGAAAATTCAAAGGGCTGTAACTTTTGAACTCGTAGCCCAATCTTGGAACTGTTTGAAATTATGGATTCTACAGGCCACATTCTATAAGAAAATTTTTTCCCGTGTCGATCTGAGAAAATTTTTTTTTCGGGGCTCAAAAAAAGGCAGTGTATAGTTACGGTTGCATTACAGATTCCTGTATAGTACTAGGAAGCGAAAAAAATGACTATTGCCATTGAATAAGTACAATTCAATGCTATTGAAAAATTCTTTTGATGGCAGAGACATCTACGTTTTACAATTTGAACTATCGAAATCCACATACACCTACAATGTTTCCTTGTGCTTGATTGTTGAATGCCACTGTTGATAGTGGGTTTTTAAAATCATAACCTCACTTATTGTCTTGTGGAATGTGTTCTGTGCATTATAACCGATATATGATTATAATTTATGTAACAGGTGTAAATGTTGCACTTCAATTTCGCCATTACAATGAGTGTAATGCACGTAATAGATAATAGGACAAAGGTTAAAAAATTATCTTATCTCTCCACTTTGGGTTAGTAAGTCGTGATGAGCGCCGCTCCAGAAAGTCCATTCAAAACCGAATCGATCAGCTTAATTCAACATTTGTACGCAACCGCAAGCGTTACTAAAGTTACGGTACGATGGAGAGATTCGCTACGACAGGTAAACCGAGAGAGTGTAATCGAACTTATTGCTAACCAGCTTTTCAGATTATGGCCTCCTGTATCGCTCACTGCATTGTCATAGCGGCCGGAGCAAACATGGCCTTCTCGGCGATTTTAATACCTCAGCTACGGGCAAGTAAGGATATTCCGATTACGGATTCCGAGGCATCTTGGATTGGTATGTCTGTGGCTAAATGTATTTCTGAAGTGTCACAAGTCTCGGCTGCTGAAAAATTTTTAATTTCATTAGAAAACTGTTAAGCTCCGCCCCAAAAATTAGCGCGACGTTTAAATGCAACTCTTTCATTGGTTGAATTTTAAAAACAATACACCTTTTGCGAATTGTACAGGCTGTATCAATAGTGGCCTGGCTGTGGCTAGACTGTGGTAATTTGTACACTTTGTATACGTTTTTGAAAGGACCAATTCGCTATTCGGGTTAACACTAGAGGCGCTGATGGCGTGTATAGGCTGTAGCGGTTGCCAGTTTTGAATTAGCTTAAACACGCAATTAACTTAATTTTCGAATTACAATTTATCATTCAATTTCTAGCGCACGTACAACAACTCGCCGACATTCCCTTACGTCGATTATTCCTTAAAACAGCCTTACTATTCGTCGCACAACTACACTGACTACAATTTAAACAATAGCTAGCGACGGTGGCGCCACTTAAGCCACTGGTGAATTCTCAATAAACTAAAAAGCGACGGTGGCGCCACTTAAGCCCCTGGTGAAATCTCAATGAACTAAAAAGCGACGGTGGCGCCATTTAAGCCCCTGCTGAAATCTTGTTGAACTAAAAAGCGACGGTGGCGCCACTTAAGCCACTGGTGAATTCTCAATAAACTAAAAAGCGACGGTGGCGCCACTTAAGCCCCTGGTGAAATCTCAATGAACTAAAAAGCGACGGTGGCGCCATTTAAGCCCCTGCTGAAATCTTGTTGAACTAAAAAGCGACGGTGGCGCCACTTAAGCCACTGGTGAATTCTCAATAAACTAAAAAGCGACGGTGGCGCCACTTAAGCCCCTGGTGAAATCTCAATGAACTAAAAAGCGACGGTGGCGCCATTTAAGCCCCTGCTGAAATCTTGTTGAACTAAAAAGCGACGGTGGCGCCACTTAAGCCACTGGTGAATTCTCAATAAACTAAAAAGCGACGGTGGCGCCACTTAAGCCCCTGGTGAAATCTCAATGAACTAAAAAGCGACGGTGGCGCCATTTAAGCCCCTGCTGAAATCTTGTTGAACTAAAAAGCGACGGTGGCGCCACTTAAGCCACTGGTGAATTCTCAATAAACTAAAAAGCGACGGTGGCGCCACTTAAGCCCCTGGTGAAATCTCAATGAACTAAAAAGCGACGGTGGCGCAATTTAAGCCCCCTGTGAAATCTTGTTGAACTAATAAGCGACGGTGGCGCCACTTAAGCCCCTGGTGAATTCTTGATGAACTAAAAAGCGACGGTGGCGCCATTTAAGCCCCTGGCGAAATCTGGTTGAACTAAAAAGCGACGGTGGCACCACTTAAGCCCTTGGTGAAATCTCGATGAACTAAAAGCGACGGTGGCGCCATTTAAGCTCCTGGTGAAATCTTGTTGAACTAAAAGGCGACGGTGGCGCTCACTTAAGCCCCTGGTGAAATCTTGATGAACTAAACAGCGACGGTGGCGCCACTTAAGCCACTGGTGAATTTTTGTTGAACTAAAAAGCCACAGTGGCGCCATTTAAGACCCTGGTGAAATCTCGATTAATCAAAAAGCGACGGTGGCGCCACTTAAGCCCCTGGTGATATCTCGATGAACTAAAAAGCGACGGTAGCGCCATTTAAGCCCCTGGTGAAATCTTGTTGAACTAAAAAGCGACGGTGGCGCCACTGAAGCCCCTGGTGAAATTTCGATTAACTTGAATTCGGATGTAAAAGTTCGCTCAGGTGTGGGGGAGAGTACACCCATCCTCGGAGTAATTTCAAAGAGTCGATGTTACAGCAAGCCTGGTGACAATCGCGCTGCCGTTCGGAAGCCTGCTGACGGGCGTGCTGATGGATAGGTTCGGACGGAAGGCGACCTGCATGATTTCGACCGTGCCGTTCGCGATCGCCTGGATGGTGATGGCGGTCGCCTCCAACTTGACGGTCATCTACGTAGCCCGCACGATCGCCGGTATGTCGTCGGGGTTGACCTCGGTCTCGCTGGTTTACATTAGCGAGATTACGCATCCCGACTATCGTCCGATGCTTCTAGGCCTCAACAGTGTCTACGTCTCGCTTGGAATACTGCTCACTTGTCTTCTAGGTCCGTCATTCTAATATAAAAAAAATCAGTACAGCAAACGCTCAAAGACATGGCAAGTAAAACGAATTTGTTTCTTCATCGATATTTTTTGTAGTAAACACATTTAAATTGTAATCATCACCAGTAAGTTACATTCTAAGGAGCTCAGCCGTAACGCACAATGACAAAAACTTAATTTAATTAATTTTGTCATTTTACTTACAGTGCAGACAGTCATGCCAGTGAAATTTTTATACCTACGATTAATTTATAACAGCGATTATAAGCGCGAACTATTTATTACTTCGGCGTTGAAATTGGAACTGACCCGAAACGCAATTCGATTTGTTTATATAGCAAACGCCGCTCTTTCGCGAAGGCTCCAGAGTATTCTAGAATATTCCCTAACAAACACGTCGTATTTCCCGGAAAGATTGCGTCACATCTGTCTTCGCTCTTCATCGCCGATTCTTCTTCTTTCATGGCTCGGGATTACTGGAATATTCGCTACAATGTTTCTTGATATAAATGCTACTGGTAATCACACTATAACAGTTTGGACAACTACCACAAACGGCATTTTTAGAGAAATCATCTACATTTTGTTTTTCATCTGCATCGTTTGGAAGCAAGCCGGTGGACGGTTGACAATTTTTATACATTTTTTTTCAAGAAATCTCAATTGTGATTGCCCCCGACATGATCTTCAAATTTCTTCTCGTAATCGAACAGGTCTGGCATTTTTCCCCAACGTTTTTCCATTAGATTATTGGCTCATTTTTAATATCAGGGAAATTATGTGAATTTAAAAAGGAAAGATCCATACACAAATCTGTATACTCTACCTTTAAACGATTCAATGGCTTGACATCTGGGCGCCATCGCGAAGCGTGTTGTACTAACGTGGTGATTTTTCCGATTTTCTTCTACAGTTTTGGTCCGATTGTTTTGTAAGGCCCGCCCGTCCTTCTCGTGTCGCCAATGGAAACTGGAGCTATGAGAAGTGCCCCTAAAATTGAGTACCATTTTGTGGAGGGTTTTTAGCATAATCCACCTAAATACGATTTGCGAGTGAGCGGGACGTCGGAGGTGGGTATCGACAAAGGGAATGTGGCAGCCTTCAACAAGATCTTATTGATGGACACGGGGACTTCGTTAGGCTGGCTCTATCTCTATTTTGTGTTTTTATTTGAGTGGTTCTTCCAGCCGCAAAGCGCTCATGGATCCTACCGGCCCGCCGAGAGAAAGTTCCCTGTATCCCGCCGGTTCCATCCACCCCTGGCGGGTACCTATGGAATACCCCCCCAACTAATCCCCCCCCCCCCCATATAGGACAGTTCTTTGCTTTTGCTGTAATTTTTCGGAAATTGTCATTCAATCTTCCTTTAGTGAGGGGTACCCCAGACTTCCTGGCGGTGCCAAGTTCCCTGCAGTAGGTACTTTTTGGGATTTGATGTTTTGGGGGAAAACGAGGGGGAAAACATCAGATCCTCCCCTCCTAAGAAAACAGCAGGGAACGTGGCACCGAGGGATCATGGAGGGGTATGGAACCCCCTCCGTCAATCCCCCCCACACCCCCTTATTGTCGAACAGTTCTTTCCTTCTGATTTAATTTTTCGGAGATGGTCAATCAATCTTGCTTTGCTGGGGGGGGGGGGGGGGGGGGGGTGTGGTATTCCAGACCCTACGGTGCTACGTTCTCTGCAGTTCTTCTTAGGAGGGGACAATCTGATGTTTTTTATCCCCCCAGCTTATTGTAGGACAGTGCCTTTTACTGTAATTTTTCGGAAATGTTCATTCAATTTTCCTTGGCTGGGGGGTATTCCGGACTCCCAGGTGCTACGTTCTCTGTAGTTCGGCTTAGGAGAGGAGGATCTAATGTTTTTTCCCCCAAAACCTTTCATGGTATTCTTGTTGGCTGTGGTTTTGTGGAAGAATGTGTTACGGGGGGTCTGGAGGAGAACCCCCCAGCTTGACAGTTCTTGCCTTTTACTGTAATTTTCGGAGATGGTCAATCAATCTTGCTTTGCCGGGGGAGGTATGGAATACCCCCCCTCCCTGACCTCCCGGTGCTACGTTCGCTGTTGTACTTCTTAGGAGGGGAAAATTTGATGTTTTTCCCAACATTTTCGATAAGGTTCTTCTAGGGTAAAGGCTTTGTGGAAGAATGTGTTTCTGGGGGGTATGGAATACTCCCCAGCATATATCAGGACAGTTCTTTGAGTTTTACTGTAATTTCCCGGAAATCTTTATTTGCTTTTGGATAGTCCGTAACCCCCCCACCCCCCGGTGCTACGTGCTACCGGGGGCATATTATTGGACTGTTCTATTCCCATGTTTAAAAAACTGCCATGAGGGTAGTAAGGGCTATCGGAAAAAGCCTTTTTTGCTGGGGTGGGGGGTACCATTCCTTTACAACTTCGCCTTGTTTCTGTAGGTTTTCCTTCTCTATTTATGCTTTCTTCATGCTTCTATTACATCTCCTTCGCACCTTATGCACCTCCTTAACATTTCTCTAACCTTCTCGCTTTAATGTCCTCTCCTTCATGTTTACTTTTGCCTTGGTCAAGTCTTTTTCGCGCCTCTTTCACGTTTCCTAGTCCTCGCCACAACTCCTTTTCAGTCTTTCTGGGCGCCGCCCTTCCTTTATATAACCCATATCCCTCATTCATTCTCCAGACTCTTATGAGCTTCCGTTTCCAAATTCCAATAAATAATCAAGATAAATGACGTCGAAACGCATTCGTTTTACTGGCCAAGCGACCTCAAGCGTTCTGGTTTAATTAGGGTACGCTCACACGCGGCGATAATCGCGCGGGTGTGTGAACGATATACATTATCCATCGTGAGAATCGCGCGATTATCGCCTTGTCTAAACGCAGCCTTACTTACAGCTCTCAATAACTGTTTCAGGTTACTGGCTGCAGTGGCGGATGATCTGCTACGTGTTTTTCTCCATCGAGGTCGTCGTGTTTCTGTGCCTGTTCGCGGTACCCGAAAGTCCCCATTGGCTGATCAGCTTTAGACGGAATCGGGAGGGGGCCGCTCGTTCGTTGCGCTGGCTGTACAGGGACGCAAAGGTGCTCGCACTTCAGGTTTCCAATAGGTAGAAAGGTTGCCTCAGTGATTTTTGGGCTCAATACTGATTCCTGGGGCACTCCACTTTTTAGTGAAGGTAATTTGGATTCCTATCGTTAACACTTATGTTGCGGGTAGGGAACTAGGCTACAAACTGAGAGAACCCAGGTTCGATTCTCGGTTGCGCCAGATTATTTTTGACACTTTTTAGTCCGTGAGGGAACTTAGTCTTTAAAATTGTGTACTTGGAGTTTATCTCACACTCATTTCCGGGTTTCACGTCGATTGTGTTTCTGTAATCCTGATAGTTTCAAAATTCTTGCAATTTCTTAGGGCCTGATACTTCTAGTTTGATTTAGATTTCCGGGAACATCTGCGCTTCTGTTACAATTATATATTGTTTTGTGTATCAATACATGTTTTTGTCATGGAACAAGAATTTGTGTTAGGAGAACATAAGACATTTGAAGGTAAGTATATTATATATACGTGAGAAGATATAGGCACCCCGCACCTTAGTACATACAACGGATTTCTCCATATAAATCCTTTTAATGAAGTGGTAGAGAAATTGCTACCTCAAGAGTACATTTGAACTATGGACTGTCTCAGGGATCAGTATTATTCTTATTGGTTACAAATAACTTGTGCCGCCTTTCTATACTGGAAACATTGCATTTCGACGACACTAATAAAATGCATTTCTTTTTCAGATTTTTGACGACGAACATCGGCGCCTTTCCTCCACACTCTTAAAATCCGAGTCTGAAGACCATTTCAAACTTTTCCATATCAATACGTACAAAAGCCCCATTGTATATAAACCCCTAATTATACTATCCGTTCTGTTTGTAATTCAACAATTAACCGGCGCGTACGTCATAATATTTTACGCCATCGACATCTTTCGGAAGGTGTACAGAAACATCGAGGGGGATCACGAGGAGTACTTGGCGCTCGTGCTGCTCGGCGTGGTTCGCTTCGTGACCGCGATCGTCGCGTCGATCGTCGCGAAGCGGGTCGGTCGCAGGTCGCTGCTTTTCGTTTCGGGTGCGGGAATGTGCGTCACCATGTTCGTGGCCGGCATCTACATGCACGCCAACACGGGCCAAGACGACTACAACGGTAACATCGGTCTAGTCTGCATTTTGGGATACGTTTTCTTCGGGACCGTCGGCTTCCTCGTCATTCCGTGGACCCTGATCAGCGAATTGCTGCCGGTTAAGGTGCGAGGTAAACTGGGAAGTCTTCTGATCGGATTGGCCTACGTGTACATGTTCGGCGTGGTTAAGCTGTTCCCCGGCCTGTTGGGCGTTGTGGACTTGAAGTGGGTATTTTGCGGTTTTTCGGCGGTTAATTTGATCGGTGTCGGCTTTACTTATTGGTGTCTTCCGGAGACCTTGGGGAAACGACTTTCGGAAATCGAGAGTTACTTCTTGTAAGTTGGGTAGAATTAACTTTCTAGGGTTGGCAACAGTTTAATATACTAGATCAAAAGTGCCTTAAAACTCTGCCACTTTTATTACGTGTTCAAAGGGCGATGATTTTTTCCGTATTATATGGTAACATAGTAAAAAAATCTGTGATATTGAGTAATAAAAGGAGACTGTTATCTTATACTTACCTAATAACAAATTAGCCTTTTACAACCCAGGCCTACTTTTTCAATCCTATCTTGAAACTTATTTGTGATTCTTCCGTATCTCATACTGCTTTGCTGCTGTGTTTAATGTTATGCTGTACGTTTAAGTTTTGCGGATTTTGGGAGTCGTCCGCCCGTGCAGATAGTGTGTACTTCGATCGGTCTGCTGGTAAGTTATAATTGCATGTGGTGCCACTTCCATCCATTCGATCTACGCATTCACTCCATGGTTTCTGATACCATGAATCTAAACAGAGAACGGTGTACTGTGAACTGTGTGCGCAAAACATTATAAAGGAACAGGTTATAAGCAAGTTGAAAAACAAAGAACTTGAATTTTTATTAGCAAGATCCCACCCCTTGGGCGGGTACCTTGTCCCACTTTCGGGACATTCAAGCCTACAGTTGAGATTCGAGATCAGCCTTAATTTGAAGTCGTAACTAGTTTGGTTACAGTGTTTCCGTCCTCTTTACGGCATTAATTTACATCTACTTAGAGCCACGACCTGAATGTATTACTGGATGACCTATTAGAAATTTGTCGTATTTGTTTACACAATATCGAATAGTGTAGACGTCAAGCTTCCGGGCAGCGGTACGTAATAGTCACGCGCTCACCTCACCAAAAGCGTGTCTCGGACACGTGTGCTTGAACTTCACTGTGTGGAGTGTCACGTGACTGTCTTACATAGGTGGCCTCTTCTATCTACTCTCCGCCAGAGCCGTCCATAGCAAATGCGAGGTCTGGAGCGAAACATTTTTACGAGGTCTTTTTCAACAATGATTTCCGGGGAGATGGAATACCCTCGGATGGGGAGGCCCGGAAAGTTTTGCAAAATTATTTGCAAAGTCGTCGTTTTAAGCACTTTGATTGACTGTTACGCGGCGAAGGAAAGGGGAGGAGATGGAGGTCTGATCGAAAAAGTACGAATTGTTTTGGATTCTACGCACCAAAATTAATAAGAAAAAGCGTTTTCCCGAGAAATTTTGGTGCAGTCGATTTTTGGTAAAAAAGGAAGGTTATACACTGCCTTTTTTGAGGCCCGCAAAAAAAGTTGTCCCAGATCGACCCGGAAAAAAACTTTTCTTATAGAATGTGGCCTGTAGAATCCACAATTTCAAATAGTTCCAAGATTGGGCTACTAGTTCAAAAGTTACAGCCCTTTGAATTTTTTTTCGAAATTGGTTTCTGATTGAAAAGTCTGATCGAAAAAGTACGAATTGATTTAGATTCTACGCACCCAAATTAATAAGAAAAAGTGTTTTCCCGAGAAATTTTGGTGTAGTCGATTTTTGGTAAAAAAGGAAGGTTATACACTGCCTTTTTTTGAGCCCCGAAAAAAAAATTGTCTCAGATCGACCCGGAAAAAAAATTTTCTTATAGAATGTGGCCTGTAGAATCCATAATTTCAAACAGTTCCAAGATTGGGCTACTAGTTCAATAGTTACAGCCCTTTGAATTTTTTTTCGAAATTGGTTTCTAGTCTATAACTTTTGATTGAGAAGTCTGATCGAAAAAGTACGAATTGTTTGGATTCTACGCACCAAAATTAATAAGAAAAAGTGTTTTCCCGAGAAATTTTGGTGTAGTCGATTTTTGGTAAAAAAGGAAGGTTATACACTGCCTTTTTTGAGCCCCCGAAAAAAAAATTGTCTCAGATCGACCCGGAAAAAAAATTTTCTTATAGAATGTGGCCTGTAGAATCCATAATTTCAAACAGTTCCAAGATTGGGCTACTAGTTCAAAAGTTACAGCCCTTTGAATTTTCTTTCGAAATTGGTTTCTAGTCTATAACTTTTGATTGAGAAGTCTGATCGAAAAAGTACGAATTGTTTGGATTCTACGCACCAAAATTAATAAGAAAAAGTGTTTTCCCGAGAAATTTTGGTGTAGTCGATTTTTGGTAAAAAAGGAAGGTTATACACTGCCTTTTTTTGAGCCCCGAAAAAAAATTCTCAGATCGACCCGGAAAAAAATTTTATAGAATGTGGCCTGTAGAATCCACAATTTCAAACAATTCCAAGATTGGGCTACTAGTTCAAAAGTTACAGCCTTTTGAATTTTCTTTCGAAATTGGTTTCTAGTCTATAACTTTTGATTGAGCTGGAGATCGTGCAAGACATGACCTCCGTACTCATACTTATATTTATACTATTGAAATTTTGATTTTTTTTGCGAGGCCTGGAGTGTCGCTCCACCCTAAGGACGCTCCAGCTGCTCTCCACGAACTACTCTCGCGTATATGTAAGTCAGATGAATACATCTAAATCGTCGGAAGTTTTCCAGGAACAGCTCCGCTTTTGGGCTTTTTTTTTTAATTTTGTATTTCTTGAAATTGATTGCGGGGGGGCAAAAATTCATTATTTGTACCCTTTTTTATGCAGGAAAATTTGTAGCGCATTTTTTAAGGATTAAAAAAACACGTTCTACCACCATTCATGAAAGGTCTCATCAAAAAGAACTATAACGCTCCCGAGACTCGTTTTTGAGATCAGTGAAGGTTAGTTCATGGCATTCGAATTAAAGGTCTCAACCAATGGAACTGTATTCCACCAATTACAGCCTTTCACCTGTGCTTTATTTGCACATGAGTTGTGCACAATTTACACTTTTTTCTACATAAACTATTAAAACAATCATGTATTGCTGTGGGCGGACTGCCCCAAAATTTAGCGTAAAAAGCACAACACTTTTTCGTAATTTTTATCAGCCATCCTGGATCCGCCATTTTGTTTCTTACAAATATAACCTCAGATTCTTATTTGGCGCGTCCAAAAACCTCACTAACCCGACTTTTATTTAAAAATAACAAATCTTTTTCAGTTTTATCCGCCATATTGGATCCGCCATGTTCTTTTTCGAAAATCTAACATCAGATTCTTAATCGGAGGGTCCAAAACCTCACTACATCGACTTTCATTTGAAAACAACAATTGTTCTTAATTTTGTCCGCCATATTTGACCAGCCATTTTGTTTTTTAACATCAGATTCATAATTGGGGCGCTCAAAAACCTCACCATACCAACTTTCATTTGAAAATAACAATTTTTTGTCCACCATATTGGGTCCGCCAGTTTGTTTTTTGAAAATCTAGTATCGGATTCTTATTTGGAGACCTCAAAATCCTCACTACAAAACAACAATTTTTCTTAATTTTGTCCGCCCTTGTGGATCCGCCTTTTTGTATCTTAATTGGCGCGCCCAAAAAAGTCACAATACCGACATTCATTTGAAAATAACAACTTCGTCATTTTTGTCCGCCATATGAAACCCACCATTTTGTTTTTCGAAAATCTAATATAGCGCCAATTTTTTTAAAATTTTTTTCTGCCATTATGTGGATCCACCTTTTTGTATCTTAAAAATTTAACATCAGATGCTTAATTGGCGCGCCCAAAAACGTCACAACAGCGACTTTCATTTAAAAATAACAACTTTTCGTCATTTTGGTCCGCCATATTGGATCCGCAATTTTTTTCAAAAATCTAACATCAGATTCTTAATCAGAGCACACTAAAGCCCCACTACACCAACTTTCATTTGAAAACAAGTTTTCTTAATTTTGCCGCCATATTGGATCCGCCATTTTGTTTTTTTAAAATTTAAAATCAGATGCTTAATTGGCGCGCCCAAAAACGTCACAATAGCGGCTTTTATTTGAAATTATCAAATTTTCGTCATTCGCCATATTGGATCCGCCATTTTGTTTTTCGAAAATCTTAACATCAGATTCTTAATCAGAACGCCCAAAAACCCCAATGTATACAATTTTAGAATAAGGGCAATACCTTCATTTTCTGGATAGTTTTTTGGGATTTGGAATCATTTGTGCGGCGGTGGGATTCAGTGTACGTACTTAGCCTGACCACTACTGTTAGATACACCCCGTATAGTAACGATGTCATGTGTCTGATGTGTTGCCTATACGAGTGAGTGTAAGCAAAAAGATTGATAGTGGCCAGACTAGAACTTACATAATTGAGGAGATAGCGACGTAATTGATAAACTTCGTCGTTCCCAAGAATTTCGAAACTGGCGCGTGACGGCGGTAACCATGGAAACAATCGGGGACACGCACCCACCATTACATTACCATGCAGTTTGCTAAGCCAACTTCACGTATATAAAAACGTCACGTATGAGAGTGGACAAATCAATTAATAAAAATCGGTTATCGTGACTGAAACGGCTCGCTTGCGACTGGTTTTGCGAACCGCGCTCGACTTTACAAGTGAAATTAAGGTAAGAATCATAAAATTCAGTACGAAACTCGCCAAGTTGTCGAACCTAACCTTAAATTTTCCTCCCGTCGACCGTAAATCGACGAGTTTGTAAAATCTAATCAGGCTTTCACCGTTTCCGAAGGACGTTCGTTGTGTTTATCAATTATCAGTAAGTGTGACCTGAGCCAATGTCGTTACAAGGTTTAAAGAACGTCATTTAAATATTATCACTTTATTTGCAAGTTTTGATTAATAAAAAACGGCAATCGGAAAAGAAGGGGAATCGTACGATTTTTAAGCGGCGCCCGCCTCTCACGCGCGTCACATTGTTGCCAGCTTTCGCCGCGTGAAAGTTGCCTCCAGTCAGTAGTTCCCAGATTTTAAACTCCGACGCCAATTTCCAGATACGATGTCGGCTAAGGCGATTAGAGAGGCGACCGGCAAGGACCTCATCAACAGGCACCTGCCCGAGGGCACCGCGACGAGCAAGTGCAGGTTCGCGTCCGTCGGCCCCCAGACCAAAATCGACGACCTCGTCGACACGCACCCGTGGCTCAGGACGGAGAAGCTCGTCGTCAAACCGGACCAGCTCATTAAGAGACGTGGAAAATTGGGTAAGCTTAATTAGGAATTAACCGTAATTTAGATAACGACGGTTCGTTCGACTTCTAGAGATTAAAGATAGATTAGGCCGGGTGTTTCGAAATCGTTTGGTGCGTCAGCTTTAGGGTCGTAATCTTTGTAATCTCGACAAGCAAAATGCAACATGCCTTGACCTTTGTATGTGTAGGAAAATGCTCGACTTTACAATGTAGCTCTTGACACCAAAAAGGAGGACCTGCATACAGTATGTTCCCAATGAATTAAAATTTGTTAAATGGGTCACGCTGTATATGCTTGCATATTTTGAAAGAAATAGCTGTCCTAATAGCGATTTTGCAAGTAGACCAGTTGTTATCTTGATTGTTTTTCTGATTTGATCCTTGTAATCCGGAGCAATTGAATAATAATAGTAAAATAATAAAGCTTATTTTGACTAGTTGTAGGTAGTTGGCGCTGATATCTCGGTTTTGTTATGGCCTACTGGGTAAATTTCCATTTGCATTTGCATTTTAGAATTTGTTTCAAATTTTCAAGAGCCCTCCAAAGGTTTCAAGAGCTTCCTTGTCTCCCTTTTAAATGAGGTTCTTCAAAGAGTAATTTCAAGAGCTTCCAATATTCATCTAGAAAAGTCTTGAGAGATCTTCAGCTTTTAAAGAGTTTTAAGAAACTTTAAAATCTCTAAACTTCTAAACGTTTTACAGCTTTCCATGTAAGGATTTTTAAGGTTGTTCAAGAACCCTCCGAGGGTTTCAAAATCGTCTGTATATCTCTTTTAATCTTTAAAAAGAGGTTTCAAGATTGCCCGCGTGTGGCGCAGTTGAGCCGAAGCCCACTCAAAAATAAAGGCCATACAACAATTTTTCTTAATTTTGCCCGCCATATCGGATTCGCATCTTAATTGGCGCGCCCAAAAACCCCACCATACCGACTTACATTTGAAAATAACAAATTTTTGTCCGCTATACTGGATCCGCCATTTTGTTTTTCGAAAATTTAACATCAGATTCATAATCGGAGCCCCCAAAAGACCCACTACATCAATTTTCATTTGAAAACAATTTTTCTTAATTTTTTCCGTCATTTTGTTTATAGCCTTTACAGTCTTTAGAAGTCTTCTGGGGTCTTTACCTCGGTCTTTACAATTTTTTTATTTACCGTTTAGGAATTTTAAAGATTTTTTAATAAACTTTCTTATTCTTTAAAATATGCAACTTATTTTTATGTTTTACAAGAGTCTAGAGTGTATAATGGCGTGTATGAATTTTTAAGATAATCGCAGAGCCCTCCAAAGGTGTCACGATCTTCTGGGGCTCGCTTTTAACCTTTAAAAAGAGGTTTAACGTGAAAGAATCTTTAAGGGTACTCAAGAGCCCCCCTTTCAAGATCTTTTCTTTTTCGCTATTAATCTTTAAAAAGTGGATTCTAGGATCTCCAATTTCAAGAGATTCATTAAGAAGGGTGTAAATTTGTATTAATCGTTAGCAACGTTTTTCTAAGAAACTTTAAGAGTTTTTAAAATCTCAAACCCTAAGATCTCCTAGAGTGTACTAATAATTTCAAGAAATTCCAAGATTCATTAAGAAGAGTCTTTAGAGGTTTAAGATTTTTTGAAATCTCGAAGCTTTGTAAGTGTGTCTTATCTTAAAAACAGGTTTCAAGGATCTTCAAAATGTCAAGAGCTTTGAAGATTCATTGATTCCAGAGCTCTCCAAAGGTTTCAAGTTATTCTGTGTCTCGCTTTGACTTTTTAAAAAGAGGTTTCAAGTATCTTTAAATTTTAAGGGCTTCCAAATCTTTTGGAGTTTTTAAATTTTTCTTATTAATTGCTAAGAAGTTTTAAAGATTTTAAAGAAACTTTAAGAGTTTTTAAAATGTCAATTTCTTTAAACGGTTTTACAGCTTTCTAGAGTCTATAGTAGCGTGCAGGAGTTTTTAAGGGTATTCAACAGCCCTCTAAAGATTTCAGGATCTTCTATGTCTCGCTTTTAACGAGGCTTTTGATATTTAAAAATAGGTTTCAACGAACTTTAAAATTTTTTAAGAAATTCTCGGAAATTCTGAGATTCATCAAGAGCAGTCTTTAGGCGGCTTATGGAGTCTTTAAAGTCTTCTATTTATTAAGACATGTTGGGGGTAAAAAACGACCCCCCCCCCCTTTTTTTTACGGAAACACGTTTTGAAGCGCCAGGAATCCGAATCAAACAAAATCTCGATGGGTCTGTCTGTCCTTATTCCTCTTGGTCCAAGTAAGAAATCTGTTGAATTTAGGTCGTTTAAAGGATAGTGTCCCAACTTCCCCCTCGTCCTCCCTCCTGTTGTATTTTTTATTTTCCTTCTTAAGTTCCTAAATTGTTACATCTTTTTTCCTTTCATTTCCATCGTTCTCTTCAGTGTGTTTCCTTGTTTATCAACCCCCCCCCCCCACTTCCCCATTCTTTAATAGATTTGTTTACCCCCGTACACAGTTGATTCTGCGCGCAACGTACAACCTTAAGAATAAGGGGTTGGGCAAAAAAGTTATCGGACCTAACCTCATTTTTTAAATGAAACACCCTGTATATTTTCAAAAATAGAACACTAAAAAAACTCAAAAAACGCCAATATTGATCCAATGATTTAAAAAAATTCGAAAATTTGTTTGAATTTTTTACAAATAATTTAAACAACAAGTTTTTGATGTCCGCTTAATCTCTTTGAATCACTTGAATCTTTTTTGAATATCATAATTTTATAGTTTTGAAAAAATAATTTAAGTAATATGCTATTTTTCAGATTCAGATATACAGGGTGTTACATTAAAAAAATGAAAATGTAACACTAAAAAATTATTTTGTAATTTTTGAAATCATTTGAACTGTTTTTTAAATTCTTTTTGAATCTTTGAATTTTTTGGAACCACTTGAATCTCTTTTGAATGTCATCCCCAGTGTGTGATATTATTGGACAAGAGAATTTAATATGCTATCTTTTTAGATTCTAATATACAGGGTGTCGCGTTAAAAAAATGGGGTTAGATTATTCAGCAAGCGAATATGTTCAAATTTTGATTTTTCTATTTTAAGTTTGACTCAAAAAGAGCACACTATATTACGGAGCTGTAAAAGTGCCGAAAATGGACACCCTGTACATTAAAGTTGGATTGAATCTTATGAAAACGAATTCTTTGATAGAAAATGCCATTTTCCCTTTTTCATGGGTATGGTGGAGAGCCTTGCCACAATCGGCTGTTACTTTATAATGTGATTGTATCCGGTCTGTGATAAAATTAATTAACGCGTTTTTTGTATCAGATAATTTACGAAACTGCGTTGTTTTAATCGAATAATAATGATAATAATAATAATAAATAACGATTTTCTGTTACCATAATAAATAGATATTAAATCACGCTCGCGTTTTTATTAACGACCGAATTTGTGGAATTATTTTTTTGTTGCTCACAGGACTGATTGCGGTCAACAAAGATTTCGCCGAGGTCCAAAAATGGATTGGCGCTCACATGAACAAGGACCAAAAGATCGGGGCGGCCGTCGGGAAGCTTCGCAATTTCATCATCGAACCGTTCGTCCCCCACAAGGAGAGCGAGGAGGTCTACGTTTGCATTTACTCGCATCGACACGCCGACACGATCCTCTTCCATCACGAGGGAGGCGTCGATATTGGCGACGTTGACGCCAAAGCCGTCAAGTTGGACATACCGGTCAACGAGGGAGTCGATATTGCCACCATCGAAAAGGTGCTGCTCGGCAAGGTGGGCGCCACGAAACGGGCGATGATCGCCAAGTTCATTCACAATCTCTACACGCTCTACGTCGACCTGTACTTCACCTACCTCGAAATTAATCCACTCGTCGTGACCGACAGGGAGATCTACGTCCTGGACTTAGCCGCCAAGCTCGACGCGACCGCGGACTTTATATGCAAGCCGATTTGGGGCGAAATCGACTATCCTCCTCCCTTCGGACGCGACGCCTACCCCGAAGAGGCGTACATAGCCGACCTCGACGCGAAATCCGGCGCGAGCTTGAAGCTGACCATCTTGAACAAGTCAGGCCGAATATGGACGATGGTCGCCGGCGGCGGCGCCTCCGTCATCTACAGTGACACAATCTGCGATCTGGGGGGCGCGAGCGAGCTGGCGAACTACGGCGAATATTCCGGTAACAACCCTCAGCTTCCACGCGCGTCCTAATTGTTCACCTTGCAGGTGCCCCCTCCGAACAGCAGACCTACGAGTACGCGAAGACGATTTTATCCCTCATGACGCAAGAGAAGCACCCCGACGGAAAGGTTTTAATAACGGGCGGTGGTATCGCCAACTTCACGAACGTCGCGGCCACCTTCAGGGGCATCATTACCGCCCTGCAGGAGTTCCAGCCGAGACTCGTCGAGCACAAAATCTCGATCTTCGTGCGGAGAGCGGGCCCCAATTACCAGGAGGGTCTCAGGAGGATGCGCGAGGTCGGGCAGAGCTTAGGTGAGTCGGCGCCGTGTTGCCGCTGTTTATCTGAACGATTTCCTAGGTATTCCTTTGTACGTTTTCGGTCCGGAAACGCACATGACGTCCATTTGCGGTATGGCACTTGGCAAAAAACCAATACCCGTCGAAAATAACATCACCGAATTTGCGACGGCGAACTTCCTACTGCCAGGCGGACAGACAGACAAGGTTCCCGCGTTCGACATGACCGGAACGACGTCCACCTACCTGTGCGATCGCCGAACTGAGGTAAGTGCGCGATCGGGCTTGTTTTTTTTTTTTTTTTTTTGATTTGGTGATTGGTTCTTCATTCACGCTTGCGTTTTATTTCGTTTGGTGTCATTGCTTAGGCTTTGCAAGAAAGTGAGCACTAAGATAACCACTAATATTGGCCGACCGACTGAAAGTAAGGCGAAGACAGTGTTCAGGTAAGCACTTCTGGGCGAGTAACATCATGGGGGCATTTTTCAAGCCGAAAGGCATCCTTGAAATACTCATGCGCGATTAAAACTGTTTTTGTTTCCGAGTTTGTCTTGAACTTTGTGTAGAAATTTTATGGAATTAGAATCTTCATCTTTGTTTTTGAAATTAACTATTCAATCTTTTAAAATTGTTTTTAATTTCCAGGACACTAGGGAATTTTGGAATATGTATTTATTTGTGGTTTGTCTAAATCTTACAGTGTTACTGAAGTGCTTGTGATTCACTTGGATATGCGCAAAATGAACATCGAGAAAGTTTTTCTAATATTTTTGAAATTTTTGAAATATCCGAAGATTTTCTCAAGATCTCACGGAATGTTTCGAAAATCTTGGGAATTCTTCAAACTCTTGGAATAATTAGGAATTCTTTCCAAAGTTTTAACTGGAATTTTTCAAATATTTTGAAACGTGAAGACTTACGTTTCAGATTTTTTTGGAATGCTATGATTTTGGAATCTACCCGGAATCTGTTTTTAATTCTTTTTTTTAACTTGCCACTGAATTTCGCTAGAAATGGCCAGGGCTCTAAATCATTCCGTCTATTTTTGTCAAATTCTTAGTCATTTTGGAATTTTTTGAACTACTCTTAGAATTTATGGCATCTTCTCTTTTAGTTTTGGAAGCATTCTCAAGTTCATTTCTTTGGAGGAAATTTGTTTTGGATCTTCGTTTCTGACACAATTCGAATCTAATTTTTATTTTAGGTTCACTTTGAACCATCTGGGCATATATTTATGGAACGCTATTTTTGAAATTTTGGAATATTTTGGATATTTCTGAGATCCAATTCGAATTTATTACCTTGGAACTCTTTATAGCATTCACTTTTAGTCTAGAAATCATTTCAGAGTGATTTCTTTGGCCTTCTTTTAGAGACATTATTTTTCATTGTTTCTTAGAACCATTTAAAACTATGCCTCCAATAACCCATATGTCATTATCAAGAACTCCTGGAAAAATGATTAAAAAAGTGATGAAGGCGTAGCCATCTGGGGGAGTGCCTAACATCGGGGGGTTTGAAGGGGGGGGGGTATGAATGCATTCCAGGAAAGAAATATTCCGTGAATTGTTATTGGAGTCCCAAAAGCTCTTCCTTCATGGAACGAATATCTGGCTGTGGCTGGGGGATATTCCATACTGCCCAGACCCCCCCGGTTTGCCTCCCCCCCCCTCGCAATTGTTAAACCCGTATTAATTTTGTCCCCCAAAACGTTAAAAAAAATAATAATTCAATGGCCTTTCTTGAAAAATGATCACAAAAGTACTAAAGGTTTATCGATTTGGGGAATAGTCAAATACGAGGGGGGGGGGGTATGAAATAATTCACCCCAGGTAAATGCATTCCAGGAAAGAAATATTCCTTGAAACGTTATTGGAGTCCCAAAAGCTCTTCCTTCAGCGAACGAATACCTGGCTGTGGCTGGGGGATATTCCATGCTGTCCAGACCCCCCGGTTTTGCCCCCCCCCCCACCCCCCTCGAAATTGTTAAACCCGTATTAATTTTGTCCCCCAAAACGTTAAAAAAAAAATAATTCAACGGCCTTTCTTGAAAAATGATCACAAAAGTACTAAAGGTTTATCGATTTGGGGAATAGTCTAATACGAGGAGGAGGGGGGGGGGGTAAGAAATACTCCCCAGGTAAATGCATTCCAGGAAAGAAATATTCCTTGAGACGTTATTGGAGTCCCAAAAGCTCTTCCTTCATCTAACGAATACCTGGCTGTGGCTGGGGGATATTCCATGCTGTCCAGACCCCCCGGTTTTGCCCCCCCCCCACCCCCTCGAAATTGTTAAACCCGTATTAATTTTGTCCCCCAAAACGTTAAAAAAAATAATAATTCAATGGCCTTTCTTGAAAAATGATCACAAAAGTACTAAAGGTGTATCGATTTGGGGAATAGTCTAATACGAGGAGGGGGGGGGGGTATGAAATACTCCCCAGGTAAATGCATTCCAGGAAATAAATATTCCTTGAAACGTTGTTGGAGTCCCAAAAGCTCTTCCTTCAGCGAACGAATACCTGACTGTGGCTGGGGGATATTCCATGCTGTCCAGACCCCTCGGTTTTGCCCCCCCCCCACCCCCCTCGAAATTGTTAAACCCGTATTAATTTTGTCCCCCAAAACGTTAAAAAAAATAATAATTCAATGGCCTTTCTTGAAAAATGATCACAAAAGTACTAAGGGTGTATCGATTTGGGGAATAGTCTAATACGAGGAGGGGGGGGGGTATGAAATACTCCCCAGGTAAATGCATTCCAGGAAAGAAATATTCCTTGAGACGTTGTTGGAGTCCCAAAAGCTCTTCCTTCATGGAACGAATACCTGGCTGTGGCTGGGGGATATTCCATGCTGTCCAGACCCCCCGGTTTTGCCCCCCCCCCACCCCCTCGAAATTGTTAAACCCGTATTAATTTTGTCCCCCAAAACGTTAAAAAAAATAATAATTCAATGGCCTTTCTTGAAAAATGATCACAAAAGTACTAAGGGTGTATCGATTTGGAGAATAGTCAAATACGAGGGGGGGTTGGGGGGTATGAAATAATACACCGCAGGTAAATGGACCCCCCGTATTAATTTTGTCCCCCAAAACGTTTAAAAAATAATAATTCAATGGCCTTTCTTGAAAAATGATCACAAAAATACTGATGGTTTATAAATTTTTGTTGGTCTCAAAAACATGTATCCCTGAATTGTTGGTCTCAAAAGCCCTTCCTTCCCGGAGCATACTTGTGTGGGCCCCCCCCCCCCCTCCCCTAAACCTTCCATAATTTTGTCCAAAAATAATAATTCAATTGCTCTCTTCTAAAGGTTGATCATTTTTGGTGGAGAGTCTAACTCCGGGAGGGTCTGGGGGGCATGGAATACCCCCCCATGTAAATGCATACCAGGAAAGCAATATTCCGTGAATTGATATTGGGGTTCCTTCGTGGAAGAATTTGCCTCTACAGTCTGTAACACGCTTTTAAGGAACATTTAATATTCGAATCGAGATTTAAGGATCTCTAAGTGTATTTAAGGGCCTTTAAAAGCCTTAAGGGCTGCCAACGGTTTCTAAGACCTTTGAAGCATCAAATTACATGATGAAACATAACAGGCTCTTAAGAGAAGACCTTGGAGAGAGTCTTTAAATTTCTTTAGTATTTCAGACTGTTTGAAAAAGTCGAACTTTTAAGAGCTTTTAAGCTTCCTTAAGGGCTTCCAAAGAGCTTAAAGATCTTTACCTCGGCCATAAACCTTTTTACGATTCTTTAAAGAGCATTTAAGGACCATAAAGGTTTTTCCAAACTATTCATGGCATACTCTTTTCACAGACCTTGAGACATCTCTTCCTTCCTCTCTACATTCACATTTTTTCACTCTTTCTCTCTCTCTCTCTCGTTTGTTTTTAACGAGCTATGTTCTTTGTATACAGGGTGTTGTGGATTGCATACCGTCAGTGTCGGCCGTTTTGCGCGCGCTCCGTGTTGGTGCGAGATGTGTTCGAGTGTCTCTCATACTGTGATGCCTCAAGCGACACACCATCACCTCTGCCTTACTGTCTTTAACGTTTTCGCAAATTCTGCTTCTCTATTAATTTTTTTTTTGTTCTTTTAACAAACTGCTCGCTCACAATAGTTTAGATTCGCTTAAGTGAATTTGCAACCACTGTTTAGGAGTCCGGACCAAACCGACTAGTAGAATTAATCCTTCCAGAACCGATGGAACAGGTAAATAATTATTAATTGGCCTATCATTTAATTTAAGTGAACGAATTTTGTTATTTACGCTATTACGGTGCTATTATCATTGTAGACACTTGCATGCGTACGTATCGGTTTTATTTAGGAGGTTCTACACGTGTTGCAATCGATGTTCGCAGGGCGACGGCGTTTCGAGTCACGTTCCGCTTTTCTCCGCCAATACCAAGGCGATCGTGTGGGGGATGCAGACTCGCGCCGTTCAGAGCATGCTGGATTTCGACTTTGTTTGCAGGCGAGAGGAGCCGAGCGTTGTCGCGATCGTCTACCCGTTCACTGGCGATCACAAGCAGAAGTTCTACTGGGGGCACAAGGAGGTGCTCATTGCCGGTAGATACCGCTAGCGGTTTATCATCGCCTCATTGTTACATTTACAGTGTATAAGAAGATGGAGGACGCTATGAAGAAGCACTTGGACGCGGACGTTTTGGTGAATTTCGCCTCGCTCCGCTCCGCCTATCAGAGTACGATCGAGACGATGAGCTATCCGCAGATACGAACGATCGCGATTATCGCCGAGGGTATCCCCGAGAACATGACGCGTAAACTGATCAAGCTGGCGAACGAGAAGAACGTCAACGTTATCGGGCCTGCTACGGTCGGCGGTTTAAAACCGGGCTGCTTTAAGATCGGCAATACAGGGGGGATGATGGATAACATTTTGCATTCCAAATTGTACCGCCCGGGAAGTGTCGCTTACGTCTCGCGTTCGGGCGGTATGTCGAACGAGCTGAACAATATCATCTCGAAGGCGACCGACGGCGTGTACGAAGGCGTCGCGATCGGAGGCGATCGGTACCCGGGTACGACCTTCATGGACTTTATAATGAGGTACCAGAAGGACGAGAATATTAAAATGATCGTGCTGTTGGGCGAGGTCGGCGGGGTGGAGGAGTACGAGGTTTGCCAGGCGATGAAATCGAAGACGTTGACGAAACCGCTGGTCGCCTGGTGTATAGGCACGTGCGCCGGCATGTTCACATCCGAAGTGCAGTTCGGGCACGCCGGATCCTGCGCGCAATCGACTAGGGAAACCGCATCCGCCAAGAACGCCGCCCTTAAGGAAGCTGGGGCGTTCGTGCCCGAGTCGTTCGACACTTTGGGCGACATCATCGAGAACGTCTACAGCGGCCTGGTTAAGAAGGGCATAATCGTGCCCAAACCCGAAGTTCCACCTCCGACGGTTCCCATGGATTACAATTGGGCCAGAGAGCTCGGTCTGATTCGTAAGCCCGCCAGTTTCATGACTTCCATTTGCGATGAGCGCGGCCAGGAGTTGCTCTACGCCGGCATGCCAATCTCTGACGTGCTAAACAAAAACGTCGGAATCGGAGGGGTGATCTCGCTGCTGTGGTTCCAACGGTGTCTTCCGCAATACGTCTGCAAATTCTTCGAAATGTGTCTAATGGTGACTGCGGATCACGGTCCCGCCGTCTCCGGCGCGCACAACACGATCGTCTGCGCCCGTGCGGGCAAAGACCTCGTGTCCAGCGTGGTGTCCGGCCTTTTGACTATCGGGGACAGGTTCGGCGGCGCGCTCGACGGTGCGGCGCGTCAGTTCAGCGAGGGCTACGACGCCGGGATGCACCCGGCGGAATTCGTGAATCAAATGCGAAACAAAGGACAGTTGATTATGGGCATCGGACATCGGGTCAAATCGATCAATAATCCCGATCAACGAGTCCAGATCATCAAGGATTACGTCTTGGAGAGCTTCCCCGCCAATCCACTGCTAAAATACGCCTTAGAAGTCGAGAAGATCACCACCAGCAAAAAACCTAACCTCATTTTAAATGTTGACGGCGTTATCGCGACCAGCTTCGTAGACATGTTGAGACACTGCGGCAGCTTCACAAGGTAACTTCGACAATCCCGCACGTCCCGACTAATTTTGTGATTCACAGAGAAGAGGCGCAGGAATACATCAACATCGGCGCGATAAATTCCCTGTTTGTTTTAGGGCGTTCGATCGGTTTCATAGGTCACTTCATGGATCAAAAGAGATTAAAGCAAGGACTGTACAGACATCCATGGGATGACATCTCGTACGTTTTACCCGAGCAATACAACAATTAGAAGATAAGGAGTACTGTGTAAAGGAAGCATTTATTTATTGTAGGGAGCACAATGTACCAATTTTATCCTAGATTTTTATTTGTTATTAGATTGCACGCAACTAAATTATTTTAAGACTAATGAATGTTGAATGTTATTGCATGCAATCGTTTTTTCACGCACTCATTCCGTCAATTCGGTGTCCATAATAAAAACTTATTTATTTTGAACGAGACTTTTCTTATTCCCTGTTAACTATCGTAATAAGTTGCGCAGATTACGAAATTAACAAACTTCAGTTGTAGGTACTTACCGGGAATTGCTCCACAGATCGCTTGGATCTCCAGAACGCCAAGAAGGAAAAAATGTCACCCAGATTTTCAGGGCTTCAATAAAATAACTAAATTGACTTTATTTTAGCGACCATTCACGGCAATTAAAAGATGCTAATAAGATTGTGTGGCTGGTTACCTAATACACGGTTCCACGTATCAACCTTTATTAGTATTTTGATTAAAATGTATGTTAAATTCAATTGTAACGCACTCATTCCGTTAATTTGGCTTCCATAATAAAAACTTACTTATTTTGAACGATACTTCTTATTCCCTGTTGAACATTTGGATAAGTTGTGCAGAAAACAAAATTAACCGACTTCTGTTGTAGGTAGCGGAATTGCTGCACATCTCGCCTGGATCTCTGGAACACCAAGAAAGAAAAAAGGTCGCGCAGATTTTCAAGACTTCAATAAAATATCAAAATTTACTTGTTTTATTTTAACAACCCTTTTTCAAACTATTCTACTTTAATAAAAACATATATACTTTGAACTGGGCCGTCTCGGGCACGAATGCTTCGTACGGTAGCGCCCATTTTATTTTTAACAGCACTTGAGAAAGCATCATGTATAGTTTACTTTTTTTTGTGTTATTTAATGCAGGTAGTAGTCTTCGCGTTTCGTTTTAATTTATTTCGGTTTTATTTGCAACATTTTATATTGTTTATAATTTCAATCTTTGTTTTTGAAAGTGACTTGATGTAACCTCAATGCAGAATCACGTATTTGATACCGTTAGCCTTTATTGTTTTGAAATCGCTTTTATTTTTGGTGTAAATGTTTGCTCAATTTACACGGGTTGTATTTAAACTAACATTTTCGTCTTGAATGAGATGTTCACAGGGGTGGTAAATAACTGTAGCCAAATTAGTTGCGACACATAATGCTGTAATTGATCTCGACTATTTACTGGGAATTCCCCCAACCAGGGCCCTGTTACAGGGGTGGAACTCTGCTAACACAAAACTCTTTGTCGGTTGCGATTCACTAATTTTTACATATTTTGTTGTTAACGTTGAATTTGCCCTCCAAGCCCATATAATTTTCCATGTGGCATTTGCCTCCCCAAATATGGACGTTATGTGGCGTAGCGTGTCCGGTGTGTTTTACTTCAAATCGAGGGGTGCTGAAATTGATAGTCAATTTTACGTAATGCAAATGATACTAAACTAGACCTCTTTGTGTTATTCCTTAAATCCATCAACCTAAAACAGTTTTACAAATGAGCATCAACACATTAGTGGTAAAGAAAAATTTACCACAACAAATTGACAGGCACCCTGAAATTCAAAAATTCAAATCTCCCACACAAATTCAAACTTAAATTTACAGCAACAAAATGACCGACATCCTTAAACCCAAATCTCCGACACAAATTCAAACTTACCGCGACAAAATGCCTAACATTCGGAAATTCAAATCTTCACACAAATTCAAATTTACCGCCACAAAATGGCGCAGCCAATCACAGCGCAGCACTCTGACATCAGAAAAAGACGGGTGGGATGGCTGGGCCTTCACATACTATTACCATTGAATTCTATTACGTTTATATAGGAATCGCGAGCTGTGGAAAATTCTTTTAGCTTTTTTATCCAGTTTTGACGTCGGGGATAGTTCATCATTTGGGGAAGGGCGAAGATTAATATACAGGGTATTTTATTTTAATTATAAATGATTGAATGTTATATTTCCTTTTTTACCAAAATTCGACTACACCAAAATTTCTCGGGAAAACACTTTTTCTTATTAATTTGGGTGCGTAGAATACAAATCAATTCGTACTTTTTCGATCAGACTTCTCAATCAAAAGTTATAGACTAGAAACCAATTTCGAAAAAAAATTCAAAGGGCTGTAACTTTTGAACTAGTAGCCCAATCTTGGAACTATTTGAAATTATGGATTCTACAGGCCACATTCTATAAGAAAATTTTTTTTCCGGGTCGATCTGAGAATTTGTTTTTCGGCGCTCAAAAAAAGGCAGTGTATAACCTTCCTTTTTTACCAAAAATCGACTACACCAAAATTTCCCGGGAAAACACTTTTTCGTTTTAATTTGGTGCGTAGAATCCAAATCAATTCGTACTTTTTCGATCGGACTTCTCAATCAAAAGTTAGACTAGAAACCAATTTCGAAAAAAAATTCAAAGGGCTGTAACTTTTGAACTAGTAGCCCAATCTTGGAACTGTTTGAAATTATGGATTCTACAGGCCACATTCTATAAGAACATTGTTTTTCCGGATCGATCAGAGACAATTTTTTTTTCGGGGCTCAAAAAAAGGCAGTGTATAACCTTCCTTTTTTACCAAAAATCGACTACACCAAAATTTCTCGGGAAAACACTTTTTCTTATTAATTTGGGTGCGTAGAATCCAAATAAATTCGTACTTTTTCGATCAGACTTCTCAATCAAAAGTTATAGACTAGAAACCAATTTCGAAAGAAAATTCAAAGGGCTGTAACTTTTGAACTAGTAGCCCAATCTTGGAACTGTTTGAAATTATGGATTCTACAGGCCACATTCTATAAGAAAATGTTTTTTTCCGGGTCGATCTGAGACAATTTTTTTTGCGGGCCTCAAAAAAAGGCAGTGTATAACCTTCCTTTTTTTACCAAAAATCGACTACACCAAATTTTCTCGGGAAAACACTTTTCTTATTAATTTTGGTGCGTAGAATCCAAAACAATTCGTACTTTTTCGATCAGACTTCTCAATCAAAGGTTATAGACTAGAAACCAATTTCGAAAGAAAATTCAAAGGGCTGTAACTTTTGAACTAGTAGCCCAATCTTGGAACTGTTTGAAATTATGGATTCTACAGGCCACATTCTATAAGAAAATTCTTTCCGGGTCGATCTGAGACAATTTTTTTTTTCGGGGCTCAAAAAAAGGCAGTGTATAACCTTCCTGTTTTACCAAAAATCGACTACACCAAAATTTCTAGGTAGAACACGTTTTCTTATTAATTTGGGTGCGTAGAATACAAATCAATTCGTACTTTTTCGATCAGACTTCCCAATCAAAAGTTATAGACCAGAAACCAATTTCCAAAAAAAAAATTCAAGGGGCTGTAACTTTTGAACTAGTAGCCCAATCTTGGAACTATTTGAAATTATGGATTCTACAGGCCACATTCTATAAGAAAATTTTTTTTCCGGGTCGATCTGAGACAATTTTTTTTTCGGGGCTCAAAAAAAGGCAGTGTATAACCTTCCTTTTTTACCAAAAATCGACTACACCAAAATTTCTCGGGAAAACACTTTTTCTTATTAATTTGGGTGCGTAGAATCCAAATCAATTCGTACTTTTTCGATCAGACTTCTCAATCAAAAGTTATAGACTAGAAACCAATTTCGAAAAAAAATTCAAAGGGCTGTAACTTTTGAACTAGTAGCCCAATCTTGGAACTGTTTGAAATTATGGATTCTACAGGCCACATTCTATAAGAAAATTTTTTTCCGGGTCGATCTGAGACAATTTTTTTTTGGGCTCAAAAAAAAAGGCAGTTTTTCAAAATTTTCAAATCGACACGGGAGACCGGGATAGGAAAAAACGAGTGGGGGATGGTAGTCAGATTTAAAGCTGTGGCCGATCTGGGAAACACTGCAAAAGTGGAAATAAGAGATAGAAACGAAAATCGGGAATCAAAGTGAGGAAATGGCAACAACCAGTGAGGAAAACAGAAACTTGGACGGAAAAGTGGAAGTAAATACAACCGAAAAGAACAATCTGAACCCAGTAGCAAGAAACGGAAACAAATGAATTCGATAAACGAGATACGTGTGCAGGAAACAGAAAATATATCCAAAACCGGTGGCAGAAACAGGTAACGAGAACTGACATACGGCGAAGTGGAAACGGTAAATACAAACATGAAATGGGATTATGGAACTGAAACAGGAACCGAAAGGAAACCCAGACGGCGATAGACAATATGATGTAGGTATAGACCGGATGAATATGGAGATCGATGCAGAAAAACGAATAAAAGAAACAAGTATAAATATTGTGGCACAATTCTTGTGCAGATAAAGTGCATTTTGGATAGATTTAATGAGTGGACATTCCTCAGGCAGTTGGTTAATAAGCACATATTATGGGTAGTGGTAGTGATGCTGTGTTCACTACTCTTTGTTCCTGTTTTCTTTTCTGGTTGTTTTCATTTCCTCCCTCCAGTCTCTGGTTCTATCCCCGTTTCCTGTTTTTGTTTCCATCTCCCGATTCTTAGTTTCGTTTTTGCTCATCAGTTTCCTGGTTCGGTCACAACTTAAAATCTGACTGCCCTCTCCGCTCGTTTTTTTTACCGCTTGGAGATTTTGGAAAACTTCAGAAATGGAAATGTGCAGCAATGGAAAATTTTAGAACTGATGAACCCGCAGAATCTGAAAAGAAAAACAGGAAAATCTCAAGAAAATGGAATGATGAATCAAAAACACCGAGTTGGTTTTTTGTGTAGACTCTCCCTCATTCTCCAGACGCTCTTGATAGAGTACCATCCCCGTTGAACGGGTCCACAACGTCGTACTTTGAAGTAGGTACCATTATTTATTTGACGACAGAAGTAGTTTAGAAACTGTACATCTCTATTTTTGAAAGACGCAGTATAAAATAAACAAAATACTTGATACCTTTGAATGTGAATTGCTTTATTGTTTGATAGGGCTGAAGTTCCTGATTAACTTGATCTAATCTTAGACACTATTGAGAAGGTTAAAATACGTAGACATAGGCACCTACATTTCTGTAATTATTGCAAAAGAAAAAGTTTTCTAAAGGTCACAATTTTAGCTTCGAGATATCAAAGTACAAGTACTAGTGCAAATTGATCTGCGTGAATAACAGTAGAAGATGACCAAAATAAAAGGAAAACAGAGGAAAAGTTCAGTAATAG